ACGTGGTCACCTCCACCGACAGCAAGGGCGAGTACAAGAAGGGGGAACAGGACAATATCCTCATTGAGTTCCTGGAGCGCGGACTCAGCAGCGAAATTGCAAGCCGCCTCTACAACACTGGCGTCCCCCTGCCCAAGGCATATGGTGCCTTCAAGAACTGGTGTGTCAACATCGAGGCCAATGCCTTGCGTGACCAGCTGCGAAAGGCCTCCTATGCGCACTCGACTCCACAGCCTCCCCCCCAATTCCGCCCTCAGGCAGCACCAGTGATGCCCACACCCGCTCCGACCCGGCCGGCTGCCAACAACCCGGTCCCAATGGAAATTGATCGCACCCACGCCCGCGGCCACAATATTATCTGCTACAACTGTCAGCAGCCTGGGCACATCGCGCGGAATTGTCCGGAGCCCAAGAAGAAGCGCACGTTCTTCAATCGGGCCACAATGCTGGAAGAGATCGAGAACGGGGATAAGGACAACAAGTTCCTCAAGGAGATTGCCGAGAAGCTGCATGAGAAGGGTTTTTGAAACGCTCCACTCCTCTAGCCAAGGAGGTGGAGCGTCCGGACTATGGACAATTTTCTGTACTTGTTTCAATTAAAGACATGAACAATTCCGCACGTACATATACAATCTCGGACTCACTACATACCAATATTCACGATTTTCTCATTGCTGATATGGAAAAAGAACGCCAAAGAAAAATAACTTTAAATAGAGAGTATTTACAAAGTAAAAAGGATCAGAAAGCTGCAGATAAATTAATTTTGGATTCATACGTATTTATGGCTCGTGGAGAAGGAACCACATCAACAAAGACCAAAAAGGGGAGCATCGCTCCGAAGGCTCAATCCTTGGAAAAGGAGGAAGCACCTAAGGAATCTGCCAAAATCAAGGTTCCAGAAGCACCCAAACGCACCAGGGTGCCAGATGCCGTCCAGAGGAAATTGGCGGCCGAGAAACAGAAGAGCCCCCAGCCCAGCAGGTTGGCGCAGGAATTGCACAGTTACCAGGCCGAAAGGAAGAGGCATTCGATGGACGTATATGTCCAGATCACGGGTCTGGACTCAGGGAAAATGCACGGAGTCAAGGCGCTGCTTGATAGCGGCTGCAGTACCTGCTGTTTTGATACCGACTATGCACGGGCGGAGAAGTTGGATATCCAAGAGCTTCCACAACCCATTGTGGCTTGTAATGCCGACAAGACCGAGAACATCAGCGGTCGGATCACGCACTATGTCGATCTGAGGATGAGAATCGGTCCTCATGTGGAGACATGCACATTCCTTCTGACGTGCTTAGGAAAAGCCCGGATCTTCATCGGTCTTGATTGGTTGATGGAACACAACCCCAAGGTGGATTGGCAGGAGCAGACCATGAGATTCAGTCGATGCCCAGAACGGTGTCACATGAGGGGTCACGAGGAACATCAAGCGATGATTGACATGGATGCAATCGACCTGGACACGGGCACACCGGATCTGGAAGAGGGAGAATCAATCCTGTTGGTCGATTTTGGGAAGGAAGTGGACCTGCAGCTGAAGGAAACACCGGCGCAGAAATTTGCAGAAGAAGCAGAAAGGGAGAAGGAGAGGATGACCGAGGGGAAGATTCCGGATCAGTACCGAGAATTCGTCAAAGTATTTGCCAAGGAATCATTCGACTCACTGCCGGACCGACGAACATGGGACCATGCGATTGAGCTCAAACCTGGTTCCAAAGCAGTGGACTGCAAGGTGTACCCGTTATCACGCAATGAACAAGTCAAACTCGACAAATTCTTACAAGAAAACCTGGCCAGCGGACGGATCAGGCCATCAAAATCACCCATGGCTTCAGCATTCTTCTTTGTCAAAAAGAAGGATGGTTCGCTACGTCCCGTCCAAGATTATCAGAAGCTGAATGAGATGACAATCAGAAATTGATACCCGCTGCCGCTGATCTCCGAACTGGTCCATAATCTATGCGGTGCAAAGTTCTTCACCAAGCTCAACATCCGGTAGCGATATAACAATGTACGGATCAAAGAGGGCGACGAGTGGAAGGCTGCATTCCGTACAAACCGCGGGCTGTACGAGCCCTTAGTTATGTTCTTTGGTCTCATGAATTCCCCGGCAACGTTCCAAAACATGATGAATGACATACTCCGAGAGTTGATCAACGAGGGTCACGTGGTAGTCTATCTGGACAATATACTGATCTTCACAGAGAACTTGGACGAACATTGGCGGATCACGAAACGAGTGCTCGGATTGCTCCAGAAACACAAGTTATACCTGAAGCCCAAAAAGTGCGAGTTCGAACGCACAGAAATCGAATATTTGGGTGTAATTATTGGACACAATTCGATGCGGATGGACCCAGTCAAGATCAAGGGCGTGATGGAATGGCCAGAACCAAAGAGCGTCAAACAAGTCCAAGCGTTTCTAGGGTTCACAAACTTCTATCGACGCTTTGTCCGGGGATACGCGGAGGTCGCCAAGCCGTTGACACGGCTGACAGGGAAGGCAGGATGGTCATGGGGTACGGATGAGCGTGCAGCATTTGATGGGTTGAAGAAGAGAATCGCGGAGGATGCGGTCTTAGCACTGCCAAACGACACTGGCCAATATCGTCTGGAAGCCAATGCTTCGGAAGGGGCAACAGGATCTGTTTTGAGCCAAAACCAAGACGGCATTTGGCACCCAATCGCATTTATTTCGCATGCATTGACTGAAACCGAGCGAAATTATGAGATCTACGACAAGGAAATGCTTGCAATCATGTTATTGCTTGACGAATGGAGGCAGTTGCTCCTGGGAGCCACGGAAACGTTTGAGATCTTCACCGATCATCAGAATCTTGAGTACTTTCGGAAGCCGCAGAAGCTCAATCGACGGCAAGCACGATGGATCACGGAGTTGGCGGAGTTTGATTTCACCTTACGACACCGGCCGGGCGCACTCAACCGCAAGGCGGATCTCTTATCTCGACGAGCGGATCACAATCAGGGCAAGAATGACAACAAGGACATCACCTTACTGAAGCCCGAGTTCTTCCGATTGCAAGAAGTCACATTTGAAGGACAAGATCAGCAGCTGATTGATGAGATCAAGGCCATTTGATCGATTGATGGAAGCATCAAGGCGGCCTTGGAGAAGTCACTCGTCAGATGGAAAAAGGAAGATGGGCTTATCACGTATCATGGGAAGCTTTATGTACTGAGGGACAAGGAGCTACGGGACAAGATCATTGGGCTACACCACAACACACCTTTGGTTGGACATGCTGGGATCAACTGAATGCAGGAGATGGTGGAAAGGAATTACTGGTGGCCAAGGATGGGGAACCAAATTCGGAAATACATCCAGACGTGCGAGGCGTGCCAACGGACCAAGACCAGAAGAGCAAGGACCAGAACTCTGCACCCGCATGCAGTCCCAAATGCACTGTGGGAAATCATCTCCATGGATCAAATCGGACCCTTACCGGTCAGTAATGGGTATGACGCAATTCATGTGTGGTGTGAAACCTTCACCAAAATGATCCACATCAAACCAATTAGTACTGACATCAGCAGCAAAGGGGTAGCACGGTTAACCAGGGACCGAGTCTTCTGCTATCACGGGATCTCTCGCAAGATCATCACTGACAGGGACTTGCGATACATCAAGGGCTTCATGAAGGAGACAAATTGGATGCTGGGCGTGGAAATGAACCCAGGGACTGCATATCACCTGATCACGGATGGGCAAACGGAACGCATGAATCAGGAGATCAAACGCTACCTACGCATCTACATCAATTACCATCAGACGGACTGGTCAGAGTGGCTGGGAATGGCAGAGTTTGCATATAACGACAAAATGAACACGTCTACCAAAATATCACTGTTCTATGCAAATCATGGATATCACCCATGGAAGGGAGTGGAGCAGCGGATGGAATCAAGGAACAAGTTGGCAGAGGAGTTTGTAAAAAGAATCAAAGAAATACAAGACAAAGCAAAAGCAGCATTGGAAAAAGCAAATGAAAAAATGAAAAAATACTACAATAAACAAAGAAAAGAAGTTCCGGAGTTGAAGGTTGGGATGAAGGTGTACATAGAAGGGGACAATATTGAGACAGACAGGCCTTTGAAGAAGATGAGCAACAAGAGATTGGGGCCATACGAGATACTGGAGAAGGTTGGAGCGGCTGCATGGAAGCTGGATTTGCCAGACACGGACCAAAGACACCTGGTGTTCAACGAGTCACTATTGACACCCTATCACAAACCACCCCCCCCATTGCCGAGAGAAGAGACCTGTAGCCAAGATGATCGGAGGAGCAGAAGAGTGGGAAGTCAAAGAAATTGTGAAGGAATGGAACGTTGGCCAAGGAAAGCAGTACTTGGTCAAATGGAAGGGATGGCCGCATAGCAAAAATACCTGGGAACCATCACATCACCTTACCCACGCAAAGAAGGTCCTGAGAGACTGGCAGAGGAAACAATCAAACCCAGACACACGCATCCGCCTTCTGCCAACACTCGAAGCCGGACATTGGGACTATCTCATTCACTGCTACAAACCCAGAGACAAGTGCCTTCCATATCCCCAACGACAACTCTTCGACCTCTACAAAAACATCTTCACGCCCATTGGCCTAGTCGATGAGGACATCGACCCTAGAGAGGGGGTAATGTCATAGTTCGACCACTTTTTCATCTTATTGTCAACGATCTTATCTTATCAGGGATCATGGCATCAGACAGTCTGGGTTAGGGGTTCCAGGGATTATCTTTATCAATTCGAGGCTGTGCGACATATGCTCTGGAAGGTTCTACCACAACTCATGACCAGTGCTCCATGCGGTACATAGGCTTATGACTCATTAGTTGTAGATATGACTCAGACTGGATTTGGGTATAAACACTGTAGCTACTTGGTTGTATTCTCCAGTCTTCAAATTCACTTCTCTTTTCGACTATTGTTTTTGGTTGATCATCATAGCAGCTTGCTCATCTGAAGCAGTGTCTCCATGTGCAAGTTCAATTGCTCTCTCGCCATTGTATCAGCTGCTGACTTTGTACAGGGCCTGAAGGTCAAAGGAGAGATCTCCTTGACCTGTGATGCCTGGCAGGCCAGCAACATCAACGGATACTTTGTTGTGACAGCTCACTGGATTAAGGAGCTAGAGCCAGGGAAGTGGAAGATGGAAGACATGATAATCGGGCTCACACAACTCAACAACGCACACCATGGGAGACATCTTGGCGAGGCACTGTTCAAGGTTGTTCAGCAGCTCAGAATTGAGCATCAAGTATGTTTGGTGTTCCCATGTATCCTCACAGTCTGATTTTGAGCAAGGTTGGGCACGTCACTTGTGATGGAGCCTCAAACAACATCACAATGCTTGAGAAATTCACGGAGTTGATTGAGTCTGTCACCACTAGAGAGTGGGATCCTGTTCAGCGTCGGATCAGGTACGTAACCGATCCAGACTTCATTGGCTCATCACAGCTGAGATTGTAGATGTCTTGCGCACGTCATCAACATGGGAACCTGCAAGCTCATTGACACATACAGCACCTTCTCACATTTTGATCCAAGGGATCCAGAAGCGCATATCCCTGACCTCACTGATTCACCAAATTGTGATGAAATTGGGATCATCCAGACCATTGCAGTCAAGGTGAGCAAGTGTGCTGTCTTTCTGTGGTCTGCACTTACATCTGGGCATGTAGGAGCATTTTTCTTTGCAGCACAAGTCTCTGTGGAAGCGTGTGTGGACTAAGACCACCAGGACCACTGCAATTGTGAAGCAGCTTGTCCTCAACATGAAAGTCCGGTGGTCATCAATGTTGGACATACTCACTACCTTGTTCAAAGCAAAAAAGGTCAGTCTACTTCATGTGTGGAACCCACTCTCATACAGCTATGACAGAGTGATAACACATTTGTATTTGCTCTTGCTGGTGACAAACCAAATCCCACAAAGCAAAAGAAACTTCTGGCTCTCCAGTTGACTGACACTGAGTGGCACCGCGTTAATCTTTTCCTCAATCTTCTTGCGGTACATAGTCTCTTGGATATATATTCCCATCTGACATATCTAAAGGAGGCCAATGTGACAATCAACCCAAAAACAAAGTCGAAAAGAGAAGTGAATTCGAAGACTGGAGAATACAACCAAGTAGATACAGTGTTTATACCCAAATCCAGTCTGAGTCATATCTACAACTAATGAGTCATAGGGCTATGTACCGCATGGAACGCTGGTCATGGGTCGTAGTAGAACCTTCCGGAGCATATGTCGCGCAGCCTCGAATCGATAGAGATAACCCCTGGAACCCCTAGTCTGGACCGTCTAATGCCGTGATCCAAGATAAGATAAGATCGTCGATGATAAGATGAAAAAGTGGCCGAACTATGACATTACCCCCTCTCTAGGGTCGATGTCCTCATCAACTAGGCCAATGGGTAGGAAGACATTCTCGTAAGGGTCGAAGAGCTGTCGTTGGGGATATGGAAGGCGCTCGTCTTTGGGTTTGTAGCGATGAATCAGATAGTCCCAATGTCCAGCTTCGAGCGTTGGCAAGAGGCGAATGCGTGTGTCTGGGTTTGATTGTTTTCTCTGCCAATCTCTCAGGACCTTCTTCGCGTGGGTAAGGTGACGTGATGGCTCCCAGGTGTTCTCGCTATGCGGCCATCCCTTCCATTTGACCAAGTACTGTTTTCCTCGGCCAACGTTTCGCTCCTTCACGATCTCTTCGACTTCCCACTCTTCTGCTCCTCCGATCATCTTGGCTACAGGTCTCTTCTCTCGGCGATGGGGGGGTGGTTCGTGATAGGGTGTCAACAGTGACTCATTGAACACCGGGTGTCTTCGGTCCGTGTCCGGCAAATCCAGTTTCCATGCAGCCGCTCCAACCTTCTCCAGTATCTCGTATGGCCCTAATCTCTTGTCGCTCATCTTCTTTGATGGTCTATCCGTCTCGATGTTCTCCCCTTCTATGTACACCTTCATCCCAACCTTCAACTCCGGAACTTCTTTTCTTTGTTTATCGTAGTATTTTTTCATTTTTTCTTTTGCTTTTTCCAATGCTGCTTTTGCTTCGTCTTGTATTTTTTTGATTCTTTTTACAAATTCCTCCGCCGACTCGTTCCTCGATTCCATCCGCTGCTCCACTCCCTTCCATGGGTGATATCCGTAATTCGCGTAGAATGGCGATACTTTGGTGGACGTGTTCATTTTGTCATTGTATGCGAACTCCGCCATTCCCAGCCACTCCGACCAGTCCGTCTGATGGTAGTTGACGTAAATGCGGAGATAGTGTTCGATCTCCTGATTCATGCGTTCTGTCTGTCCATCCGTGATCGGGTGATATGCGGTCCCCGGGTTCATTTCCACGCCCAACATCCGATTCGTCTCCTTCATAAAGCCCTTGATGTAACGCGAATCCCTGTCGGTGATGATCTTGCGGGGGATCCCATGGTAGCGGAAGACTCGATCCCTGGTTAACCGTGCAACTCCTTCACTGCTGATGTCAGTACTAATTGGTTCGACATGGATCATTTTGGTGAAGGTGTCACACCACACATGAATTGCGTCATACCCATTACTGACCGGTAAGGGTCCGATTTGATCCATTGAGATGATTTCCCACGGTGCATTTGGAACTGCATGCGGGTGCAGAGTCCCCGTCCTTGCTCTCCTGGTCTTGGTCCGTTGGCACGCCTCGCACGTCTGGATGTACTTCCGAATCTGGTTTCCCATCCTTGGCCACCAGTAGTTCCTTTCCACCATCTCCTGCGTTCGGTTGATCCCAGCGTGTCCGACCAAAGGTGTGTCATGGTGTAGCCCGATAATCTTGTCTCGCAGCTCCTCGTCCCTTGGTACATAGAGTTTCCCATGGTACGTGATGAGTCCGTCTTCCTTTTTCCATCCAGCGAGTGACTTCCCTAAGGCCGCCTTGACGCTTCCATCCATTGATCGGATGGCCTTGATCTCATCGATTAGCTGCTGGTCTTGCCCTTGGAATGTGACTTCTTGTGATCGGAAGAACTCGGGCTTCAGCAACGTGATGTCCTTGTTGTTGTTCTTGCCCTGATCATGATCCGCTCGTCGAGACAAGAGATCCGCCTTGCGGTTGAGTGCGCCCGGCCGGTGTCGTAAGGTGAAATCAAACTCCGCCAACTCCGTGATCCATCGTGCCTGCCGTCGGTTGAGTTTCTGCGGCTTCCGGAAGTACTCGAGGTTCTGATGATTGGTGAAGATCTCAAATGTTTCCGTGGCTCCCATCAGTAGTTGCCTCCATTCGTCCAATGATAGCATGATTGCGAGCATTTCCTTGTCGTAGATCTCGTAATTTCGCTCGGTTTCGGTCAATGCGTGCGAAATAAATGCGATTGGGCGCCAAATGCCATCTTGGTTTTGGCTCAAAACGGAGCCTGTTGCCCCTTCCGAAGCATCGGCTTCCAGACGATATTGGCCGGTGTCATTTGGCAGTGCTAGGACCGCATCCTCCGCGATTCTCTTCTTCAATCCCTCAAATGCCGCGTGCTCGTCTGTACCCCATGACCAACCTGCCTTCCCTGTCAGCCGTGTCAACGGCTTCGCAACCTCCGCATATCCCCGGACGAAGCGTCGGTAGAAGTTGGTGAACCCTAGGAATGCTTGGACCTGTTTGACGCTCCTTGGTTCAGGCCACTCCATCACACCCTTTATTTTGACCGGGTCCATCCGCATCGAATTGTGTCCTATAATTACACCCAAATATTCGATCTCTGTGCGTTCGAACTCGCACTTTTCGGGTTTCAGGTACAACTTGTGTTTTTGGAGCAATTCGAGTACTCGCTTCGTGATTTGTCGGTGTTCGTCCAAGTTTTCTGTGAAGATCAGTATATCATCAAGATAAACTACCACGTGACCCTCGTTGATCAGTTCTCGGAGTATGTCATTCATCATGTTTTGAAAGGTTGCCGGGGAGTTGGTGAGACCGAAGAACATGACCAAGGGCTCGTACAGCCCACGGTTCGTGCGGAATGCGGCCTTCCACTCGTCACCCTCTTTGATCCGTACGTTGTTGTATCCCCACCGGATGTCGAGCTTGGTGAAGAACTTTGCACCGCATAAATTATGGACCAGTTCGGAGATCAGCGGCAGCGGGTATCGGTTTCGGATCGTCATTTCATTGAGCTTCCGGTAATCTTGGACGGGACGTAAGGAGCCATCTTTCTTCTTGACAAAGAAGAATGCTGATGCCATGGGTGATTTCGATGGCCTGATCCGTCCGCTGGCCAGGTTCTCTTGTAAGAACTCGTCGAGTTTGACCTGTTCGTTCCGTGATAACGGGTACACCTTGCAATCCACTGCCTTGGAACCAGGTTTGAGCTCGATTGCCCGATCCCATGTCCGTCGGTCCGGTAGTGAGTCGAACGATTCCTTGGCAAATACTTTGACGAATTCCCGGTATTGATCCGGAATCTTTCCCTCGGTCATTCTCTCCTTCTCCCTCTCCGCTTCTTCTGCGAATTTCTGTGCCGGTGTTTCCTTCAGCCGTAGATCCACTTCTTTCCCGAAGTCAACCAACAGGATTGATTCTCCCTCTTCCAGATCCGGTGCGCTCATGTCCAGGTCGATTGCATCCATGTCAATCATTGCTTGGTGTTCCTCGTGACCCCTCATGTGACACCGCTCTGGGCATCGACTAAATTTCATGGTCTGCTCCTGCCAATCCACCTTGAGGTTGTGTTCCGTCAGCCAATCAAGACCGATGAAGATCCGAGCTTTTCCCAAACATGTCAGGAGGAACGTGCGTGCCTCCACATGAGGCCCGATTCTCATCCTAAGGTCGACGTAATGCGTGATCCGACCGCTGATGTTCTCGGTGTTGTCGGCGTTACGAGCCACGATGGGCTGCGGAAGCTCTTGGATGTCCAGCTTTTCTGCCCGGGCGTAGTCGGTATCGATGCAGCAGGTACTGCAACCACTATCAAGTAGCGCCTTGACTCCGCGCGTTTTCCCCGAGTCCAGACCCGTGATCTGGACGTATACGTCCATCGAATGCCTCTTCCTTTCGGCCTGGTAACTGCGCAATTCCTGCGCCAATCTGCTGGGCTGGGGACCCTTCTGTTTCTCGGCCGCCAATTTCCTCTGGACGGCATCTGGCACCCTGGTGCGTTTGGGTGCTTCTGGAACCTTGATTTCGGCAGATTCCTTGGGCGCTTCCTCCTTTTCCAAGGATCGAGCCTCCAGAGCAATGCTCCCCTTTTCGGTCTTTGTTGACGTGGTTCCTTCTCCACGAGCCATAAATACGTAGGAGTCCAAAATTAATTTATCTGCAACCTTCTGATCCTTTTTACTCTGTAAATACTCTCTATTTAAAGCTATTTTTCTTTGTCGTTCTTTTTCCATATCGGCAATGAGAAAATCGTGAATATTCGTACGTAGTGAGTCCGAGATTGTGTATGTATGTGTAGGATCGTTCATGTCCTTAATCGAAACAAGTACAGAAAATCGTCCATAGTCCGGACGCTCCATCTCCTTGGCTAGAGGAGTGGAGCGTTTCAAAAACCCTTCTCGCGCAGCTTCTCGGCGATCTCCTTGAGGAACTCGTTGTCCTTGTCCCCGTTCTCGATCTCCTCAAGCATTGTGGCCCGATTGAAAAATGTGCGCTTCTTTCTTGGCTCCGGACAATTCCGCGCAATGTGCCCAGGCTGCTGACAGTTGTAGCAGATGATATTGCGGCCGCGGGCGTGGGTACGATCGATTTCCATCGGAACCGGTTCGTTGGCAGCGGGTCGGGCCGGAGCGGGTGTGGGCGCCACTGGTGCCGCTTGGGGACGGAACTGGGGAGGTGGTTGTTGTGTGGGGTGCCCATACGACGCTTTGCGCAGCTGGTCACGCAGAGCATTGGCTTCGATGTTGATGCACCAGGCTTTGAACGCTCCATAGGCCTTGGGCAGAGGGACACCAGTGTTGTAGAGACGGCTGGCGATCTCGCTGCTGAGTCCGCGCTCCAGGAACTCGATGAGGATATTATCCTGGTCCCCCTTCTTGTATTCGCCTTTGTCGTCGGTGGTGTCGACCACATTGTAGCCTGCATCCGCGGCCAACATCTCAAAGTCGGAGATGTAGTCCGCGAAGGACCGTTTGTTTTGGCGCAGGGCCATAAGCCGAGCAGCGGCGACTTGTTCCGCATTGGAGTCCCCGAACGCCCTCTGAAGCTCCTCCAGGAAATTCTTTGATGTGACTCCTGCCTTCAGTCCCTGGAAGCCATCGAAGTTGTGCTGCTTCCAGTTCATCGCCCATCTTGAGGCAGCGCAGCTCGTGCCGTTCTCGTTACGGAGGTAGGAGAGGACGAAGAGGATTTTTGTTTCATCCAGTGAGAACTCCGATCGATAGGCACCAATGTAAGTGGTGCACGCGTCCACAAAGCCCAGGTACTTGGACTTGTCGCCATCGAAGTAGGGGGGTTGGCGGCGAGGGTGATGCGGTGATGCCCTGACATGGTAGGAGCAGGCGTGTGAGGTGGGGGCGAGGGTGGTTGTTCGGAGGGCAGTTCGTCGAGGTCGGGGATCTCGTCTTCAGGTGGTGGGAGGGCGAGATAGGGGTTGGAGGGCCCGGGTTGGTTTTGATGCGCCAGATCGGGCGACGATGGTACAATGGGGGGAGGGGATGGACTCCCAGACGACGATGGGAATCGGTACGAAATGGTGGAATCGTGTGCTGTACAAGCACTCGAGGGAGGGTTCTTTTGCTAGCAAAAAGATCCCGGGCCTAGCTCTTCACGTGCCCGATGATCCCGAGGTGCGTTTTCCCGAAGGTCTCCGCAGCCCTCCTTGTAGCTACCGTAAGGCTTGGGTCGGGCTCAACGTTACCCGTGGCCTGGTGCTGTTTGCTTGATATGAACCCTTCACTGCGATAGTGGAGGGCGACTAGATGATTTGGTAAAAGGGTGAGTGGGGTGATAAGGGTTAAGAGGATATAGCGGGCGTAGCGGTGCAGGATGCAGGGTAAGAGGTATGAGGTAGGAGGGTATGAGGGGAGTCTTCGAATTATGTGACAATCAACCCAAAAACAAAGTCGAAAAGAGAAGTGAATTCGAAGACTGGAGAATACAACCAAGTAGCTACAGTATTTATACCCAAATCCAGTCTGAGTCATATCTACAACTAATGAGTCATAGGGCTATGTACCGCATGGAACGCTGGTCATGGGTTGTAGTAGAACCTTCCGGAGCATATGTCGCGCAGCCTCGAATCGATGAAGATAATCCCTGGAACCCCTAGTCCGGACCGTCTAATGCCGTGATCCAAGATAAGATAAGATCGTCGATGATAAGATGAAAAAGTGGCCGAACTATGACAGCCAAAGACTGCCAGCAGAAGTTCTTGTCAAATCTTTGATCAACACTGCACCTTGCTATTCCAGCTCTCGAAAATCTCTACGAGAGCTGGAGGATCAGGTCAGAAGATCTTGACTACACAGTCTTTGTGGCAGCCCTTGATGCAGCTATGGCTAAAATTGACGAGCTTTATGAGAAGACATCAAACTCACATGCATACATGATAGCAATGGGTAGGTCAGTGTTGCACCATTTGAATCTACACTCATATTTGCTCCAGTCCCTCATCCGGCATACAAGATGGATTATTTTCATAATCATTGGCCCTTATACCTGCAGAGAGATGCAGAGAAGGCACTGGAACAAATTGTCCGTGATTGCTCCTGCCTCACTTTCCGTGCCACTGAAATCAGCTGCAGTTCCGTGAGCACTATGAACAGCTCAATGCTGTGGCAGAGACCAACATTTTGGCGCAACCAAAGTCCCCTGTGAAACTGAAGGCCAGCTACAAGAACCGGCTGCTGTCAGCTTCAGGCAGTTCATCCTTGATTGGCCACCTGCCCTGCCCTAATATAGCAACCAATCAGACTGCGTAATCAAATGGTGACGTGCCAACCAATTGGTATTTGTTTGGCTTGACGCTGATACCCTTCGATAATACCGCCCAGTATGTATCTTTCGTCAAATGACTTAGAGCGCTCGTCGCTTGCACCGTCGGCCAAGCTCGGCACATCACACGTCTTGGGCTCTGATCATCCGCCATCTCCAATACCTCCCGACACCTCTCGTGATGACGTGGCTTCCCGACGCACACGTCATCGCCTACCCGTCGTGCTTGCCGCGCTTGCTGTTGCTGTCCCCTCATTGCCTGCTTGTCGTGCTCACTGCGCTCGCTGTTGGTGTTGCTCTCTATTCCACTACGATTCAGCAGCTCTTTGGCCATCTTTCCTCACCGCTCTTGCCTATTGCCCACCGCCCTTAATTGAACTGGAGTGGAGAGTAGTGAATTTACTGTATGTCGCGCGCCTTAGTGATGGACTCTTGTACACCATCCTGGTTAATATATTCCGTTCTTCTTCTCCTTTCCCATGTCCCAGAACTAACAACACACTGTCCGGTGAAAGGTGATAAGCACTATCACTGCGCTCTCTTCTCTCCCATTATCATCACCGTCTGCTGTCCTGCCGTCTCTATCGCTGCCTAATGGCACCGCATGGACTTGCAAAAAAGAGCAAGGTTCACTATGGGCGCACTCAGTCAGGGCACGACCAAGGCGAAGAATGTACCCATTAACAAGACACCTAAGCAACTTGCTGCCGCCAAGAGTCTCTATGAGCAGCAAATGCAAAGTGCGTACCTCTTTCTAATCTTCTGATGCATGCTCATGTTACAAACCAGGCTTGAGCTATACTCAGCGGGAGGAGATTCTGGGACATGGGTTGGAAGCGGAGGATGTGGACATGGGAGACGCTGGGGATGACTGGGAAGATACGGATGACCATACCCTCTACCACACACTTTCCCTGGGCGAGGAGGGATCGTTGCATAGTCATGCAGGCGCAGAGGCAATCTGGAATACCATTGCGGATGGCATGCGGCCAGGGTGCGCTGGTCATGCCCCCTTGTCTGACTCGCATACTGACATCGGCCAATTCAGCCGTGGAGATTCACGTGTTCGTAGTAATTGCGTGCAGAAGATGCTCGACTCATAGGAGCGGTACATGCCTCGACTCGTTAAATTGTTGTTGAGATGGAAGGCATCGTGTCAGGGGACGCCGCGCTCCTTGGGCACGTGACCATGCACATGACCCACTGCGTCCTCTCTGCCGACCCGTGCCTGCTCACCTGTCAATCACCCAGCCTCCTCCTCCTCCTCCAATCCTCATCTCCATCCATGCTGACATCTGCCCTCTCCCTCCTTCCCCTGGCCATCTCCCTCGAATCCCTGCAAGCAGTCTAGCCAAGCCCGATTCCTTGCACTAGGGAGTGCTACTGCCGTACGCACTCCTCCCCCTTCACTTCGGCCTTCTCCCCACGGATGTGGTCTACTGCCGTACAGGCTCGTACCAGATGCCCCTGCGCTCATCCGCACCACCCCTCTTCCCAGTCGGGCATTGGTCCTTGCCTCCGATGTCTCCACTGGCTGGCCCGGCACTGGCCTGGCCACTAGGCTCCTCCAGTGTGGCCTTCCACTGTTGGTGTCTCAGGAGCTGGCCATCACTGGCCCCTCTGAGCCACTCACTATCTTATCTGGGTTTGTCATCATCTACTTGTCATCTGCCATTGTTCCATGGCAGTGATATCCCATCATCATCAGTCACTTGTCACAGCTGACTATATAGTGTGACACCTGGGCACATGGATCCTTGAACCGTTCTCTAAGGATCCCCCTCTGTGCTCAGGTGAGTAGTATACCTCCTTTGTATTTGATAGTCTCTAAGAATCCCCCTCTGTGCTCAGACTCATGTGAGGTTGTTGTGTGCTGTGTGCTCTCTTCCTTCGGGCTGGCAGGAGTTGCCCTTACACATCGGAGTCTTGGGATAAAGAGGACTTGGAAACGCTTGAAGGATGGCCTATTCGGGTGCTTGGCTTCAATGGTACATCCATTGAAATCCTTCTTTTGTGTTACGACTAATAGGTTTTGTTCCCAGAGTTGCGAATGGGGTATTTTACGCATTCTGCTGGAGCCCTGTCCCCCAATGAAGCTCTATTGGAGCGGGGATACATTGGGGCTGCTCCTGAGCAGCCGACCATTGCATTTGCTATTCATACATTCACGATCTATCGTCAAATACATCAAGTCACCCCACGTTTTGCAATTGATTCTCTTGCTTGTGTTCTGAACCATCTCTATGAGGTATGCATTGCGTGCAGGCCTATCCGATTATCTCAAGTCAACATTAACAGGTCCCACGACGACGCTATCTCCAAGAACAGCTCACTTCGGCCTATGACGCGTACTTGGAGATTATGCAAAGAACAGATGTGTGTGCTGCCAAGGCATTGGGCAGGGACAAGGATTGGGAAGTCAAAAATGTCTGCCCACCCTGTTTCTATGTCTTGAACAGCGAGCCAAAGTTGAAATACTCCTCATTTATGAGCATTGACGGCAATAACTCCTTGAAGCTCATCGACAGTACCTTTCGTGCAGGGAACCCGTGTTTTGATGCTCGGACATCGAGCTCTTGGAGATGGCTTACAGTAGCACAGGTAGATGTATTCAAAGATGAGGTCAAAAATTCTCAGGTACATTCTCTTCAGCTCTTGTGATACCTATCTCACTAAGATGCAGAATCAGGCCCGAAAATGGAAGCCAGGCACAAATCCAGATTCGACTGCACCACCTGCCACAAATGACAGCTCTCTGAATGTTGACATGCCAAGCGACGTTCCTGATGAAGATATTGCATGGCTCAATGTGAATGAGCTTGATGAGACGGACATTCACGAGCTGGAGCAGAGCATCAGCGTGTGTGTCGAGCGGTGGAAAGCAGCTGGGCCAGAGGCTCAGAAGAAGATGTTTGCGCTCTTCGCTGTCTCAGGCATCTTCTTGGCTGTATGTCGACACGGTCATGTACTTGTCATGTGCGACATGATTTGAAGTGGAGAATTGTATGTTCCTCTACTACACTCAGTCTCTACTCATCGAACTTCAATAGGATGAAGTATTCACTGGCTTTAGTCCGACATCTGATGGACACCTACGGCACGGACATTGGTCTAGGATACGACATCATGTGTGCATTCTTCAAGACCCTCCTTCGCAGCTCGCTGGGTGCCCAGGTTGTTGCTATGCGACTTCGCAGCATTGTTCCTGCCTTCCACGGTCACGCACATAATCGGGAGTGCCAACTCGGATGGCACCCCATGTACATTGATGGTGTTGGCTTGGAGGACTTTGAGGAATGTGAGCGTACATTCTGTCAATCTAACAACCTTGCCAGTTGCACTCGACTTGCTACACCATTCCATTGCTAACAGCAAATCGACAAGCATTTCTACTTTCATGATCTCGACAAGCACGCAGCTTCAGGTGCGTCATTGTGATGGCATTGACATCTACGATCAGGAAGCTTCATTTTTGCCAACTATCGACAGGCCATTGAGAAGATTGCAGAGAACACTATCCGACTAAACGTCCTCGAGGCTGAATTACATACAACTGCAGCCGACTATGACGCAGACCTCAAGGCAGAGCTAGAGCACTTGAGAGTGCTCAAGCAGGAGCCGCCCGGTGTTGTACAGGCCATTGACTACCTTGAACTCTTAGGCAAGTTACAGGTTGCTGTGTATGTGCATTTGTTCATGTACCATACTTTCTCTCACGCAGATTCTCAGGGACGCTTCGGCCGCTGCGGCTGCAGACTTCAAGAACCTTGACCTCTTGATCATCCGGGACAGCATCAAAGGTCCGAAGATTTCAGCCATTTGCACACGGTACAGGACGACTCATACACAGCATCTCCTGGTGGAGGAAGAAGTCGCTCGCTTTGAGGAGGAGCACGGCATTGTTACGCAATGGGAGCAGTCCAGTCATGAGTACCGCAAGGCACTTGTCACCCTCGCTGAGCAGCGCTACCGGCGTGCTCTTGACAAACTGGAGCGACTGGTGGTGCAGCGACTCATGGAGCTTACAAAGCTCTCAATGAGTGGAGTTGGTGCGTTCCTGATTTGCAGCTGGTCAGAGTGCGTTTCTGATATCTATGCAGGTTATAAACTCCGTGAGAAGATCGGCAAGGCACTGCGTACCCGTGCCAAGGCCATTCAACGTGCTCTGACCGAGTACAATACAGCTGCTTCAATGCTTAATCCCCCCCGGGAAACGCTTGAATGGGCTGAAGTGGTACAAGCAACATCATTGGCCGAGTTTGACTTACTCTGCAACACGCGCGTGGATATCCGCAAGCTCCCATGGACGCAACCTGCACGACGTGAAGCTGCAGGCTTATATTTCGGGATCAAACGTGCTCAAGAAGAGATGGAACGGCTGAATGTGGAGATTCGTCGACTTGTTTCATTCATGCTTGATGAACATGCTGACTTCTACCGTGCCATTGCGTCCAATATGATAATGGATCCAGTATTGGCTTGGGAGCTTTCATGCCGGTGGATGCAGAAGTCACGTATTAATGAGGCTGTAATGGAACGGCTTGTCAAGACCAGCCGCTTACCTGGTTTCTCGGGATCTCTTCTGCCTGGAGAGCGAGTGGGTCGAGATGCAACTATCACAACAGCCTGCCCACTACCCGACTGGGCAAAGATGGTTTTAGGGCTTGAAGTTGTCGAATTGGAGCTTGAGGAGGACAACAATGCTGCAGAGGTGCCTCGTGAATTGCAGGGGCTTGATGAGGACCTTGTAGTGGATCTTATGGATTGTCTACAAGTCACTGTACTCAACGAGCAGGTGTAGATACTTTTGAATAGACTTGTCGAATGCTACTTGGCATTAATCGGACATAATGGATTGCAATATCATTGGCTGGGAAGCCCGGGCTGTGCCGGTCTCTTGATTGAATTACCGGATCTGGGGAAGCCGAATTCATTATTGTATAGCTCCACCTTCAACGTTTGGCCAAAGGCAAGGATACTACATGATATGTATAGACTAATAGAATGCTTCACGATTTTTTGAAGTTGTTCTATACAAATTTGGCCTCTCTAGAACAAAGAGAGTCGTCTTTACCAGCCAAATGAAGGCTCAAGAGTCAGTATTCTCTTATGTTCAACATGAATGGCTTTAAACCGCAAAGATTACATGTGAATTACATTCATGGGGACAAAAATAGCTCACATGATTTATTATTTGGAGCTGAGAGAGAGAAGACAGAGCAGAATAAGAAAGTATCTTCATTGGATGGAACTAGAAGGCCCATACTGTTTACAATAAGTGCATGAATCTGGGCGTATTTTGGCATCTTCGCAAAATTCCAGTGGAAGACCCCTCCTAATTCGATTCATTGTCATGCAAAGATGCTAAATGAATGATTCTGTGCACTCTGATTCATCCCAGACCTCCTCGATCTTGATGAATTTGCAGAAAACACCAAAATTTAGTATTTCAAAAAGGTTCTCCAATCATGTTGAGCGTCTCACATTGGACTATTACATTTTAGTAGGCCCTAAAAACAAAATATCCAATCCACACAGCATTCCTGGTCATGGCGATTTCACACTCGAGTGGTTCTGGTTCTCAGACAATTCTATGTCATAGAAGTTAGATATTGCGCTGATACCAGTCTCTAGAGTTTATGTCAGTGTAAATTTTTTGTCTCTGCTCACGGATTACTGTCTGCAGAGCTCGAGATCTAACATTGGCTTGCGAGCAGCAGGATAGCAACATTAGAGTTTCCTGCTCAATAAGAAGTATTGACAGCGGGAATTTGCTACAGTGTCCATTCAATAGTTGTTTATTATAACTAAGTTGAGTTTGAGGACTATTGCATGAGGCGCTCCCTCATGCACAGTAAATCATCTGAAATCTGGGGTAAAGGATCTCGTCCAATTGACAGATGATTGACAGCATTGATCGCATTCTTTGCTGATCTCTCTTGCTTTCCACCGTGTCTACGCCAAGTTGCTCCCTGGGAATCACTTTGGATGTCCGTCAGTCTTGCCTGCCTATCTCGGACAACCCTCCGGGACTCCATAAAATTGTGTTCCTGCCATTGGGACTCTACAACCTCTGCCAAAATCTCTTCCAGCACCCGGTGACGTCTGCAATCTAAAACGGACTGAAGTCTAATTTCATGGCCAGCTATGTTTGTACAAAGGGAATGACCCCAACTATGCACACTCCCGGGACTGTCATACCTGGGATGTGAGTTGTGCCCGAGAACCTCAAGTCGGATGAGTACTTGCCCCCCCAATCCCTTGTTGATGATCCCAGCTCCCACGCTTCCATTGCCTTCATCGAGCAAGTTGATGTACGGAGCCTATGTCTTAGGCAAAGCGTGCACAGGAAAAGCGGCGCCTCTTGCCATCTGCCTATTGCCAGACAGTGCGTAATCCTCCGACTTGTCTCATTCCATTCCTAACAGCCTCTAGATCATCACACTACGGATTTTAGGAGTCATTTTCGGCGCAGCCTTCCTCCCCCCACAAATGTGCCTGCCTTCGATATCAATTTCTTAGCGTCCCCATCCACTGCCATACTTGCTGATCCACCAGCCAGTCTAGGGATGAACTCGTGCTCCCAGAGAGAATTGATGAGTTCCAACAGCTCAACGGGTTCCTCGTGGCCGAGAACAATGTTGGAAGTCCGTGATTGTCAGATTGCGTGACTGCAGCTAAGTGTGTTCCATGACCTTGCTCTTTCTCTCTCTTCTGAACTTTTTCAGCTCCTCCTTCCACTCCTATGTGTCTTCCTCTGACTTATTCTTGTACTGAGACCCCTTGTCGCCATTTCCAATCTCCGGGAGCCGGTTCCTTGTTTCAGAGCCTATCAGTAGCAGTTATCTTGAATCGGCGTAGCCCTGTACTCCATAAAATGATAGGAGTTCTTAATCCACATGGTCAGCGAAAGAAGTTCGAAGCAGTCCAGATGGTTTTGGAGCTTGCTGAGCCTACTCGGTGGGCTATGCAACTTCCGGAATTGGGACTGACCGGGGAAATTTTGGATCAGGGACTGACTGGGAAAGCACGTAGAATGTTCAGTACCTGACTGGAAACTTTCATTTCAAATTCGATCAATCAATTGTACATCTGTAAGGATGGTCTGGAAGTTAAGCGTGATAAGCCGTGCTATTGTTCACGTGACCGCATTGTAGTCTGAAAAAAGGCCGTTTATTCAAATTGGGCCTCACTACCCTCAGCTACCCTTACTATGCCTGTTGGCGGCCTCACTATTGCAGCTGCTAGTCAGCCCCGCCATTGCGCCTGTGCTTCTGCCCCTCATCAGGCACCACTCACTGCCAGCCAGAAAAGCGAGCGTAAAGCAGAGCACGTGAAGAACCAGGAAGCCGAGGACGCTGCTGTCAGTAAGATTCCCACGAACCCATCTTTGACGATGACCATTCACATCCTCACCAGATGAATGGTTCCAATACACCCATAACCTGGCACACCAGCTTGGCGAAAGGTTCGATAAGAAACTTTGCTACTTCCTGGATCGTTTTTTCCAAGGCGGCGCAAAGATGATCAAGCACCAGGAGAAGGTCAATCCGTTTAACGCGTACAAGGCCCTCAAGGCGGAGGAAATCCAAGAAGGTACGTCCGAGTACTGCTATCAAAATGGTTCTCTGATTCTGTACCATTAGCGGGAGGGGTTGTCCCCAACGCGCCTACCTTGAGTGAGACTCTCAGCCCCAAATACGCCAAGCTGTCGGAGGAGGAAAAAGCAAAATTGGTGGAGGAGTACGTGCTCTAGCCTTTTCATTTCAATTCCAAGTACATATGCTCATGAATTTCATGTTTAGCTTCAAGGATGTCAAGGCCGACATCTCTAAAATCAAGCGCGACACCCCACGCTCGAAGTCTCAAGATGTCGCCAATGTGGTCCGCAATGTAACTATGCTTGTAAGCTCTCTTTCAGCGTGCTCCAGAGTCTTGTCTCACATAGTTTCAGCTTCAAGGCCTGAGCTATTGTGTTGGAACAGAGGCGTTTTTTCTCATCGTGCGCAACAATGCCGATTTCTATATGGAGCCTCAATGGTTCTTTTCCACCGCGGAACTTGAACGTTACATGCCATTGGCAGTGGGAAAAAAATGGGATTTGGCTACAGTCGGGGCCAAGGTCAAAGCCTTTGCGGTTGCTGGCTGCGATACCATGCGTGCGTGTGTGGATCGTGAGATTCAGGCTCTGGTTGACGGCTCTTACAGGTCTGCTTCGTACCGCAAAACAAAAGTGCGACCATTTGAAGGTGGAGATTTGGCAGTTGGTGAATAAGGGCTTATGTGCGTGGCCGATACATCGACCGCAATGCTGCGCTGACTGATTCTCCAGGTGCTATCACTCATCTTCCCGATATCACCATGCAATACCTGCACTACGACAAAGACATTGTACTCAAACACGGCGTCGAGTTCTGAGGATGGACCGCGGGCAACTCGATCACCAACCCAAGCGACCTCAGCTCGTCTGTCAAGGAATTGGTCAAGCTGCGTGATGCACTCGACAAAGGAGATGGACGTTGGGTCAAGCTGACACGCGAGGAGAGGGAGGAGCAGCAGAAGAAATGGGATGAGGATGTAGAGGCCGGGCGAGTTATCCCGAAGTCTCGACAGAGCCGCTCGGACAAGGGGAAAAAGAGGGAGCGCACCGACAACGACAACGACAACGACAACGACAACGACCACCACGGGACGGTCATCCCACAGCCCACCGCCTCCAATTCCTCGCCTTCAGGGCCTGTCATTGAAGAGCCCAATTCTGCTGTTACCACACCTGCACCGCCCGCAAAACGCGTCCGGAAGAGTGTCACATATTCAACAAGCTCAGCTAGCAGTGCCACCACCAACAAGGAGAACAAGAACCTGGCCCGACGCACAAAGGCAGCAAGCGGCGGCACTCAGCAGGATGACGACACCACGCGCAAGGCTGTCGCTCGGTTGCAAGCAAAGCATCGCGTGGTCAGCGCGGAGACCATTGACGACAGCAACACTGAGCCCAAACAGAGCACCGCAGCCAATTCTGCTGGTACCGCTATGCCCGCTTTAGGTTCTGCTTCGGGATCTGGCACAGGCCCTTCCGACGCCGCGGGGCCTTTGTAACTCATTAGCGTGACATAGCATACAAATCAATATATTATGTGCAATTTGAGTGCAAAGTGTGCATTGTAAGAATAAGTGTTTGAGGGGGCAAAGCCGCCCGGCAAAACTCGTCATGTCGCACAAGCCAGATAGCATTTAAATCAATTTATTGGGTGCAATTCTAGTACAAAATGTGTATCATAAGAATAAGTGTTTGAGGGGACAGCAACAGCAAGCGCGGCAAGAGCGATGGGTAGGCAATGTCAGGGGAACCCCCGTTTCGGACCGCTCTGCCTTCGATCAGGCATGTGATTGCGCTCGCGTGACCTGTCAGCTGTCACGTACCGCGGCCCGGACTGCCGCGCCGAGCGCTTCTCCTTGATGGGCACATGGCCAGGTGCCCCATTGTTCCTATTGTCCCCGCTCCCATTGTTCTGTCATGGCCGTTGTACTTATTATCCCCATTGTTCTTTGTTTGTCGCCGCGTGCTCCATTGTTCTTGTATCATATAAATAGTGGCGCCTGGCAAGGAGAATCCCCAACACGGTTTCTCTTTGGATTCTCCCTTGCCAGGTATGCCGGTCTTGTACCTAGCTACCACTATTAATCACCTTTGGATTCTCCCTTGCCAGAACTCTGAGATCGGGTCTCGAGGTTGCCCTTACAGCAGAAACCGTGTTCCTAGGGATAACCGGACAAGATTGCGAGGTTCGACGCTGACGCCAGTGGAGAAGAGTCGACGAGCGACCAAGACCACCACTCCCTCACCTCCTATCTTGCCCCCTCCTCCCCTCCACGAGCAGACCCGATGAGCATGGATGATAACGAACAGCAGCGGCTGTCTGCTCTGGAGACCAGCATACAGAACATCGAGGCCGTACTCACCCGCCTCATCTCTCAACAACAACAACCCCCTGCCCCTGCCCCTGCTCCAGCTCCGGCAGCGGGTCCAGGTGTTCCTACTGGCGCCAGCCCTGCACGCCCCCTTATCCGCCCGAATCCCCCCTTCTCCTTCGATGGGGATCGCACCCTGGGCAAGAGCTTCTTGCATTCAGTGAAGCAGTACTGGCGTCTGCTTCCTGAGGCGTTCTTCGTGAATGGGGCAGTCTCGGAAGAAAAGGTAGTCCGCTTCGCCCTGTCCTACATGTCCAAGGACTCCGCGGCCTCCTGGTCCGAGCGCATGTCCGAGCGCACCCCATTCCCGTTCCCTACTTGGGCTCTCTTCGTCACCGAGTTCAAGCTCCGATTCGTCGAGGAGAACGAGCAAGACCACGCCCTGGCGCGACTGGAGACCCATCTGTATTATATGGGCTCCCGTGACGTGTTCAAGTACACGGACGAATACGACGACCTCCTTGATCTCGCCGGCTATACCGACGATCTGGTCAAGGTGACCAAATATAGGACGGGCCTGGATCCGAAGATCAACCAGGCTATCACCACCTCTGGCAACCCTCCCAGGCTTACTGACTACGCCGAGTGGCGTGTCCGTGCGTTCCGGCAGTACAATGCGGAACAAGCTGCCAAGGCGTCTCGAGGCCACGTCCCTCCCCCCCGAGCGCCTCCTATCGTCCCTCGTCCTCGTGCCCCGGTGCTCCCTGCTGTAGCACCGGCAATTGCTGCTCGCCCGGCGCCGGCTCCTGTTGCCCACCCCATCCCCATGGAGTTGGATCGGACCCGGCTCCGCGGTGACGTTCGCCGCACCTGCTTCCGCTGCGGCAGTCCGGGCCATCTTGCCCGTGACTGCCCCACCCCAGCTGATATTCGTCACACCGATGTCCTCGATGAGGTCATCAATCAGCTGGGGAGTGATCTGCTTTCCGAGTTGGTTGCTCGGGTCGCGACCACTGCAGCCGTTGCGGATCATGCGTCCAACGTCGCAGCCGAGGAGGAGCAGGGTTTTCTCCCCAGCGACGAGTGAGTAGTACGCCCTCGTTCGCTTCACGTAATCGTTTCTCCTGTTTGTATGATGAATCCAATTCCCTCCACTCTGCAACAGTTGAAGCGATAGACGTACACCCTGCTCCCCCACTAACCCCACGAGTCCGTAAGGAGAAGTGGGAACGCAAGCTCCCTTCCTGCTATGTCGCTGCCGCCTCTCCCGGGGCCAATTCTCTCCACCTCCCCCTCGAGATCGAGTCCACCGACAACGCAGTGAAGTTATCTCTCAAAGGCCTGGTCGATTGTGGTGCCACATCCGACTTCATCGACTCGGCCTACGTCCTTGAAAATCACCTCCCCGTTCGTCGCCTCACCCAGCCTATCCCCGTTTACAACGTGGACGGCATGCCGAACGAGGCCGGCTCCATTCGCGAAGTTGCTGATGTGGTTCTCCGTTACCAGGGCCACAGTGAACGCGTGCAGCTTGCTGTCACCCGTTTAGGCAAGCAGCAGCTCATTCTAGGGTACTCCTGGCTCCGGAAGCACAACCCGGAGATCAACTGGGATACCCAGGAGGTAAAGATGAGCCGTTGCCCTTCCGGTTGCTCCACCTGCCGAGAGGAACTTCGCAAAGAACGTCGATCTGCCAGAACCGCGGCCCGGGTGCTTCGCACCATCAGACAAGGTCCGGTTCCATCCATCTGCGCTGTCGACGTTGAGGACCACGAGGACGAAGAGATGCCGGAGCTTTCGCCAGACTCGGACGATTATGACCCTGAAGACGTCGAAGAAGATGACGACTCCTTGGAAGCCGGTGACCGTATCTTTTACACCCGCTTCAACCCTTCTGAAAACATCCGAGCCACCAGCACCGTCTCTCAGCGACTCGCCGAGGCGTTTGCCAAGAACTCTGCACCTCCTCGGGATTCCATCCCCGAGTGGGCCTGCGAGTTCGAAGATGTTTTCAGCAAGGAGTCCTTCGACAACCTGCCAGAGCGACGCCCCTGGGATCACGCCATCGAACTGGTTCCCGACGCGAAGCCGACCAACTGTAAGGTCTACCCCATCTCCCCTCTTGAACAGAAGCAGCTCGACAGCTTCATCGAGGAGGGCATGGCTACTGGCAGGATTCGGCCGTCAAAATCGCCCATGGCGTCTCCCGTCTTCTTCGTGAAGAAGAAAGACGGCAGCTTACGGTTTGTCCAAGATTACCGAGCACTAAACGCGATGACAGTGAAGAACCGCTACCCGCTCCCCCTGATCAATGATCTCATCAACAAGCTCAAGGGAGCTCGGTTCTTCACCAAACTCGACGTTCGCTGGGGCTTCAACAACGTGCGCATTCGTCAAGGCGACGAGTGGAAGGCAGCGTTTCGGACAAACCGCGGGCTCTTTGAGCCGTTGGTGATGTATTTCGGCCTGACCAATTCCCCCGCAACGTTCCAGACGATGATGAATGACATACTTCAGGACCTCATCCTCTCTGGCGACGTTATGGTGTACCTCGACGACATTCTCATCGCACATTCCGATATCCACCGTCACCGGGAAATCGTGAACGAAGTCCTCCGACGTCTCCGCGAGAACAAGCTCTACCTTCGCGCGGAGAAATGCGAGTTCGAGATGCCGTCGATCGAATACCTCGGGGTGATCATTTCCCACAACCATGTGGAGATGGACCCGGTCAAGGTCGCAGGTGTGGCGGAGTGGCCAGCTCCGGCTAACAAGAAGGAAGTGCAGCAGTTCCTCGGCTTCACTAACTTCTACCGGAGGTTCATCCGGGATTTTTCGCACATTGCCCGTCCTCTCTTTGACCTCACCAAGAAGGACGTGGCATGGACTTGGGGCGCCAACGAGGCAGCTGCGTTTCTTGCGCTAAAGAACGCTGTTACCTCTACCCCAGTCCTGCAGCTCCCGGATGCTTCCAGGTCTTACCGCCTCGAAGCAGACAGTTCGGACTTTGCAACCGGTGCTGTCATCTCGCAGCAGTCCCCCGTGGATGACAAGTGGCATCCGGTTGCCTTCTTCTCAAAGAGTCTTAACGAGGTCCAGCGGAACTACGAAATCCACGACAAGGAGATGCTCGCCATCGTCCGCGCCTTGGAGGAGTGGCGACACTTCCTCGAGGGCGCCGAGCACCCCGTTGAGATCTGGACCGACCACAAAAATCTGGAGTACTTCCGGAAGGCCCAGAATCTCAACCGTCGTCAAGCCCGCTGGTCCCTCTACCTGTCTCGCTTCGACTTCACCCTGCACCACCAACCTGGCCGCCTCATGGGTCGCCCGGATGCTCTCTCGCGCCGCCCCGACCACGGAGTCGCTTCGGACAACGCAGACGTCACACTGCTGCGCCCGGAGCTGTTCCACGTCCGGGCCTTGGAGGGTCTCACTGTCTCTGGACCCGAAGCCCCTCTCCTGCGCGACATCCGGGAGGCCCTCGCCGGTACCCCCGACATGGAGGAGCCCATTGTGTTGGCAGCACGTGAGCTCCTCAAGGAACGCGGAGTTCGCTCTGCTCGGGCTGCGGAGTGGCGAAAAGAAGGCGGCCTGCTCTACTTCCGTGGCAAGCTGGTGGTTCCACGCAACAACGACCTCCGCCGACGCATCCTCGAGCAGCACCACGACACCCGCGTCGCAGGGCATGCCGGCCGCTTCAAGACGTTGGAGCTGATCTCTCGGAACTACTGGTGGCCCCAGTTGTCTCGACACGTCGGCCGGTATGTGGCCACCTGCGACCTGTGCTGCCGAACCAAGGCGCTCCGCCAACTCCCAATCGGGGAACTCCATCCCACAGAGGTCCCTTCGGAGCGCTGGGAAGCGGTGTCAGTTGACTTCATTGTGCATCTGCCAGACGCTCACGGGTATGATGCTATCATGGTCGTTGTTGACATGCTTGGGAAGCGCAGCCACTTTATAGAGTGCCACACCCGGCTCTCCGGTGAAGGTGCCGCCAGGCTTTTCTACAAGAACGTCTGGCGCCACCATGGGCTGCCGTCTAAGTATGTCTCTGACCGTGGCTCCCAGTTCATAGCAGAGTTCACGCAGGAGCTGTGGAAACTGGTCGGGGTCTCATCGGCAATGTCTACGGCTTGGCATCCACAGACGGACGGCCAGACCGAGCGTGTGAACCAGGAGCTCGAGCAGTTCCTCCGGATCTTCACCAGCTACAACCAGGACGACTGGGACGAGCTGCTTCCCGCTGCCGAGTTTGCCTACAACAACCATATTCACTCGTCCACGCAGCAGGTCCCGTTCATGACCGACACCGGTCGACTCCCTCGCATGGGCTTCGAGCTGAATGGACCACGCTCAACTGTGAACGAGTCGGCAAACGACTTCCGCGACCGCATCGCGTCTGGAGTCGCGGAGGCCAAGTCAGCACTGGTGAAGGCAAAGGATGAGTACAAGCAGTACTACGACCGCTGGAGGGTCTCGGCTCCAGACATCAAGGTCGGAGATCGAGTCTGGCTTGACGCTTCTGACATAGCAACAACGCGCCCGTCCCTCAAACTCTCTCACCGACGGCTGGGTCCCTTCAAAGTCACCCAGGTTGTTGGGCGCGGCGCTTACAAGCTTGACCTCCCTCGCCGCCTCTCTGGTCTTCACCCGGTCTTCCCTGTCGTCAAGCTGCAGCTCGTTGAGGACGACCCATTCCCAACACGCCCGGCTCGCGAGGAGCCGCCACCTGTCATGGGCCAAGGAGCTGGCGAGGAGTGGGAAGTCGAAGAGGTTCTGGATGCCAAGATGCGCTATCGGAGCATTTGGTACTTCGTGCGGTGGAAGGGCTACGATTCATCGCATGACCAATGGGTTAAGCACTCTGATATCTTCGCAGAGGACGCTATAGCGGCATTCTACCGCAAGCACCCCAACAAGCCACGCATCATTGCCGCCGCCATCTTCGACTCCCTTCCGTTCCAGCACCCCTCTGCCACCATCCGCACGTTGCGTCGAGGCGCCGCAATCCAAGGGGGGGGTGATGTCAGGGGAACCCCCGTTTCGGACCGCTCTGCCTTCGATCAGGCATGTGATTGCGCTCGCGTGACCTGTCAGCTGTCACGTACCGCGGCCCGGACTGCCGCGCCGAGCGCTTCTCCTTGATGGGCACATGGCCAGGTGCCCCATTGTTCCTATTGTCCCCGCTCCCATTGTTCTGTCATGGCCGTTGTACTTATTATCCCCATTGTTCTTTGTTTGTCGCCGCGTGCTCCATTGTTCTTGTATCATATAAATAGTGGCGCCTGGCAAGGAGAATCCCCAACACGGTTTCTCTTTGGATTCTCCCTTGCCAGGTATGCCGGTCTTGTACCTAGCTACCACTATTAATCACCTTTGGATTCTCCCTTGCCAGAACTCTGAGATCGGGTCTCGAGGTTGCCCTTACAGGCAATGACGTGTGCGTCGGGAAGCCACGTCATCACGAGAGGTGTCGGGAGGTATTGGAGATGGCGGATGATCAGAGCCCAAGACGTGTGATGTGCCGAGCTTGGCCGACGGTGCAAGCGACGAGCGCTCTAAGTCATTTGACGAAAGATACTGGGAGGTATTATTGAAGGGTATCAGCATCAAGCCAAACGAATACCAATCGGTTGGCACGTCACCATTCGATCACGCAGTCTGATCGGTTGCTATATTAGGGCAGGGCAGGTGGATTGGCTTGTCATCTGAGCTGGCCGTCAAAACATGGCACAACAAATATGACTTGTACATGAACACACGGGGGATGGTCAGCAAAGACGTCAACTTGATTCAGTGGTGGGGTGTGAGTCTAGTACCTTCTTTTCCCTGGGTTCCTGTCTCATTGCCCTCAACTAATTGTGGTGCAGGAATTTGGGCATGTGCATTGGACATAGCAATATCTTGCTTGTGATTATCTTGCTGTCATGGTGTTGTCTGTTTTGAGCAAGCGAGCATTCTCCCAGGCTGGCATCACTATCAGCAAACGTTAGAACCACTTAAAATCTGACATTGTTGAGGCACTGCAGGTTCTCAAGTGCCTGATCCATCGAGACCTTCTGTTTTGTGCACCTCCGCTGAATAACGAGCATGAGGATAATTTTCTAGAGGTTGAGGGAACCGAAGGAGGTTGGGATGATTTATTAGAGGAGGATTCAGATAATTACAAAGAAGATGTAGATGTGGAGGATTAGTAGAATCATTGTAACCAATAAGATTACAGGCAACCAATCATGTGATTAAAGCTGGGGCTTGAGCCAGAGCCAAGCTGGGCTTTGGGGGCTTCCAGGGCCTGAGGCTTTGGCTTGAATCTTGCAAAGCCAAAGCCCAGGGCTTTGAGGCCAAAGCCGGCAGCTTGAAGCCAAGCCAAGGCCAACAATTCACTGATGGCCATGTGTTGTAGTTTGACTAGTGACAAGGAGCTGTGAGGCTGAGGGAATAAACTCTGAGGAGTTTATTCCTTCTACCTCCCAGCTTATATACAATTGTTTCTTACTTATCTAGAATATTCTACTGTTAACTACTAGCTACCAGCAGAACCATATAAATAATAATGATGTTTTTTATTACTTGATTGCATCAATCTCAACACCATGCATTTGTGCTGTGATCGCAATCAGGGGGGATTTCAAATTGTATTGATTGATTACCCTTGCTAGAGCTTGCTAAGTACTGATGGCTGGATGGACAATGCTAGAATTGAGCAGCCCTACTGGAGTGAATTTCTATGCAGTGCATCACATGATTTTTTATCCTGCCATCCCGCCCATTTAGTGCGTCATGTGATTCAATTCTTTTTCCCGCTCATCTGTGTGCTCCTCATGATAAGTCACAAGGTGCACTCAGAGCCGCGCCCGAGGCCAGTAGGTCCCCCGCGAGGGCAAAACAGTGTGATGGCGGGGTAACTGAGGTGTGCGCATCAGCGTCGTTGGTCATCTCGTGATCGCCATCAGCGCTGATACGCGGTTGTCTTATTTCCTGATGCAGGTAATCGATAATGTACTCAAAGATCCAGGAGTAGCGGATCCGATGCTGCTGAATTGCGCCATGGTCTGTCCTCGGGGGTGTACGATTCTCCTTCTTTCTGACGGGGTTCCGTATGCAGGGTCTTCTCATCACCGGTGCCATCTTCAAGTCCACGGCTCCCGACGAAACCGATGCAGAACGTCGGGAACTTGAGAGGTGCGTCGTGGCACGTCCGAATCTCTCATCTCTGAAATCTGGCCCAGAATGGTTGCAGAAGCGGCTGCACCAAAGGGGAAGTCGTCAGCCAAAACTGCACATGCGAAACGGGAGCAAATGCTCCGGCAACATGCAGCAGAAGCCGAGAAGGTCAAGACTGGGCAGAATGATATTCGATGGATTTTCCTTGGGGATGTTTGTGTGAACTAGACTATCTTAATGCTCATGTCACGCGGAAAACGATGCTTTGACCTGTTGCGACATGAATCGAGCCATGAAGGAAGGATCTACACGCACTTGTTTGAAAAACTCGTCATCGCGAAGAGCACGCAGTGCCGTGCATGCAAGGCCCTTGGCGATGTACATCGCGGCTGTGTGTGCTTCTTGCGTGGCAGCCGCATTTGTGAATGCGATCGTGTGGTTTCCGCCTCCAGGTTGGGTCGGAATAGCTGGAAAAGTGAGCGATGAGGTCAGAAGCAAGGAGAAGGACTGACCAAACCCTGGATGAAGCCCAGGCAACGCTGCATGCGAGGTGAGCCAGAATCACTTGCAGTCAAGAGTATTACCATATGTTACGTTCCCCTAAATCCAAGTCAACAACGTGGTCACCATCGTGCGACGACCACTTACAAAGTCGGTGGAAGCAGTCCCTGGCGTGGTCGAAGTCTCAATCCCGTAACGTTTCGCCACGACGTCGGCGAATTCCTGTCCTACGGGGATCAGTCAAGAGGGGAAATTCAGGATGTGAGGGATTACCGAGAATGGGGTTCTGTTTTAGATCCAAATACGGCTCCGCCAGCGTCAACTTGAATTCGCAGCCGGTGGCCATTGCTGCTGCTCTGTTGAGAGGGATCAGAACTCAATCCAGGGAAGAGGAGGCGGTCAATCACTTCAAGCAATTGGTGACACGCTCCACGAAAGCTGCGAGATCCACGTCGGTGGGCGCTCGAGCGAGACAATTCATTTTGGCATAATCAGGAATCACATTGGGCAGCCAGTTGTCGTTTCCTGTAATGACACCGTGAACACGATGATCAGGTCGCATCTGCTGGCGGAGTGCGGAAATGTTGGAGTAGGCTAGAAACGCAGCATCTAGTGCGTTGACGCCGTCCCTTCGGAAGAAGTAAGCGTCTAGTGGCTGATTCCCTCCGAACAAGAATCACCAAGGAGCTGCACCAGCATGCGCGCTGAGAAGTTCAATCACCGGCCACGGAAAACTCGGCTATAGCCTACTTTTGCCCGAAATATTCGACCTGGATCACTTGCACCCCGATCGTTGACCCCAGGTTGGCCGACTTGATAGGACCTCCGCTAGGATGACACATCACGCAAAGATCCATTTCCTCGTACCCGCCTCTCTCTAAGAGGATGATCTTCCCCCCTCCACCCTCCTCGGCTACGGCGCATCATCATCAGAAGCGAGACGATGCCAAAAAAAGTTGCCAGCTTACCTGGGGTACCGAGCAGGATCACCTTCCCCGGTATGTTATGAGCCTGCAATGCCTTTTTGAGCGCAATCGCGACTGCGCAGCCGCTTACGGCTATCAGGTTATGGCCGCATGCGTGTCCTGCACAAGCGTCGAGAGGGGCAGCCGGAAACAGCAAGTAACTGACCGATGCCCGCTAGCGCGTCATATTCTAGGCCAGCTTGAGACTTAAGAGCAGGCACAGCGCGGGTGGAGACAAACCACTGTTGACACCTATCACTCGTCCTCCGGAGCCGTGCTGGAATTCGGCTCTGAATGCGGTTTTGAGTCCGAGATAGCTCCGGGTCACCGCGAAGCCCTGGGAGGCCATAAAGGAAGTCAAGTGTTCATGCGCGAATCTGGGGCTGATCAACATGCGTGCGCACGGAAACCAATGGCACCAACTCTTCCTGGAATGCGACCTCAGGGTGACCTGCATTGGGACGATGTGTGCCGACATCACCGAATACGACCGGGCTTGCGTACCGTGAATCTTAAGACTGAGTGTATGCAATTGGGGTGATATCTCGTCGATGCTTTGGTCAACTGTGGCGTGCGCGTCGCCCTGCAAGTCGACTTGGGAAGAATAGGCAGGAAGTTGGTCACTCTCGAGCCACCATTCTGCCGGATCAGCATATCCATGTTCGCAGATCGTGAGGCAGCGATACTGCAGCCTACTGCTCAGTAACAGAAGGTCTGCCAGAATCACACACATGCCTGGTTCGCTTCGGGCTGGAAGTGCTTTTCCTCGGGCTGTGTGCGTTGCACTGCAGTGGGTCTTGACTTTGGGAGACGGATTTTGCCTAAGAGCGCGCCGAAACACCCAGCCTGTCCGTCGCCCATGGCCGAGAAGAGATAGAGCAGATGACATGACCCATCAATACAGCCCGGCTATCGCAAAGTTCTCAATCCTTCTGATGCTACAGTGCTAAGAGTTGATGCGGCAAATGCGGGGCTGACATAAGGAGGACTAAAGCTGTCTTCCGGTCGCAAGCGGCGCAAAGAGAGGTGAAGACACAAAACGCTTGTTTTCGCCGGAGTAGAGCAGCAAAGCCGGTTAAGATGCGAACCTTCAAAGTTTAAAGTTCCAAAGCTGCCTGGTCGTCGGATCAACCCGGCTGAGTAAACTGTACACATCCGGTTCATTCCGGGCAATCTTAAACGGTGGTCTGTTCCTAACCACACACGAAACAGATAGAATAGAGACAAGAGTGGGGGGCGATCTGAAAGCCACAGATTTCTCCCTCTTCAGTCCCCTGGGCAATTTAACTTGCGGCTTAAACTGGCAACGTCATGGATGGTTGAACGCCAGCTGACCTGAAAAGGAAACTTGGCCCAAATGTACAAATGCTCTCACACACGCGGACACGAAATCATCGAGACACAAATGAGTATAGAGGATAGAGTATAATTTCATTGTGCAATATGGCCCGTGTTTGAATCAGAGTGCATAAGTTGTGATGTCTACAAAAGTGCACAATTGAAGGCAGATGCTGCTCTGCTGCGAGAGTATTTGCAAATGTGAGTGAGGTTTGAGACATTCGTTTGTCCAATCTGTGACGAGATAATCTTGTGCTGACAACTAACGGCAAGCCTGATGACAAAGTACAGCGAACACGCGCAGGGATCGCACAGCAGCAGGGAAAGCTTTGCGCATATCTCGATTCCAGTCAGCTGGAGAACGATCTGATCATTTTCATTCGCTTTACGTCCGGCGCTCACACAGCAGATGTTGAAATGCCAGCTGCCAGGAGCCAAAGTGTAAGCCAGTCATGCCAGTGCCAAAAAGGCTACCTTCGGAACATACAATCTTCCGTGAAAATCAGGTCCGATCAGATCCAGAGGCAGCGAGCTAATGTGGGATAGCGCAATTCAGACGGAACATCAGACGGAGTGAAAGGGATGTCGCAATCACTTGGGAACGTGAGATATCCAGAGCCGGCGGCGTCACAATTACTGGGAACATTGGCTTCTGAGGAAGACAGACAAGAGCCGAATACGTCGGCAAATGGGCTTCCTGAAAGACGCCATGATTCGTCGTCGAGATTGCAAACAGACATCGCTCAGATAGACCTGAACACCGACCTTCTCCGGGATGTTCCAACAGTCTGAGCCTCAGCTTTGCTTTGATGCCCCCCATTCCAGGAATATGCCCTGCGCGCGTGACCTCCCTGTCAGAGATGTCCTCGTCAAGAATGATGACGCTGGAAAGGCAGCCCGGACGATTATGGCACGGCGGCGGAGACATGAGACGAGGAAGAGACTCATCTCCCTTCTCAACACAGCCAGGAGATACAACCAGCGGTCGTGATATTCACGAGCGACCTGGGCAACGTGTTTCTCGATACACAACCGAAGTGGACATACATGCAAGACCATGGTAGAAAACAACGTGATGGGTCCGGATATGAAACAAGATCCAGTAATTGTGTACAGGACGGATGCTAGCGATGCGAATAGGTGAGATGAATGCTCGGATATCAGTGCGATGGCACAGTCCGCACTGACTCCCTGTAGATGCTGAATACGCGGAGGTTGATCGAGAAAAACGCGGCAAGCGGAAGAGAGATCACAGAAGGACCAGAGTTCGGAGACGCTAGCAGCCGGGGACCACGCGAGAGCACTGAGATAGTAATAGTGACCAACGGAGTGGGGCATCTGATCAGTCGTCACACCCCATACTTCTGCTTGAGGTGAATAAAATCGCTTCCTGTGAGTTTGGTCCAATGATTGAATAGATATACCATCTCCTTCTTGCCTTCGCTATCAAGGTGGATGGGCGCACGGAGATGAGACAAGAAGTCAACGACTCACAGATCCTTCTTCAGCCAGTCTGTCCGCAGATTTCCCCCCTCTCTCCAAGCCATAAGCTCAGAGGTCCCTTCTTCTATTTCCATTTCCTCCTCTTCTTTCGACTTCCCTTTCTTGCAGCCCCGTTCCATCTTCCACTCGTTGCCATCGCTCTCCTCCTGTTTGACGATCGGCCTAGCGCTCACAGACGAACAGGACAGCTTCTCTATCAGAGATTCACAGACCGCGGCAGCCGTCCGGTTGGGAACCTGCGAATAAGAAACGGGATTGGACACACGCTGAGTGCCGAGGAGGAAGCGAGACTGCTCACAAAAGGAAATGTGATATCTGGATGATTTCGGTCAGTCGGTCATCGAGGCAAAACGAAGAGCGAAGATAGGAGCGCACCTAGACGAGGTGTACGATCCGGAGTTATCACCAGCAATGCGCGGCACATGGGACAGTCCACCGATTCATGCCACCCTCCGCATGCTTTATGCAGGCGGGAAAAGAAATGTCTTAATATGCATAATGCACAGAACGAGTGTCCGCAAGAACCAGGATTAAGCGAATACGGTTGGGCCATTATCTCATAGCATCTGGAGAGCGGGACTCGGCGCGCGAGCACGAAACTAAAGGAGCGGGACGCACAATGCACATGTGAAGTGCTCCTCAAGAACCGCCAGCATTGCTTGGGACTCGCGCACTGCAACCTGTGACATGGATGCAGAGACTTCATCTTCCTTCTTCCCCAGCTCATCCGACCTTCGTTTGTACTCTGTCTCTCGAATCATCAGGGCGGCTTCACGGCGGACCAGTTCCGCTGGAGTGATTCGTGTCGATCGACGGGAGCGGGACTTCAACGCATCAGAAGAGCAGGATGGTTTCTCGTCGGGCGGTAATGAGGAGGTGGATGCCTCTGCAGCGATCTGTTTCGCCTTGCGTCGCCGTGCTGGTCGTAGAGGGAGCTCGATGAAGACATTGCTAGAATTTAGCTCTGGTGGGGGGTGAGAGGACATGAGACCGGGGAGTGAATTTGCTAGTGAATAAGCACCTACCTGAGTTGTTTAACCGCAGTGAGCGTCTTGTGGGTGGCGAGCTTGCTCGTGTGGTTCGAGCCATGGGATCACGGTATCAATAGAGGCAAGGGGAACGCTGTGGTTAGGGTCAGACCTCCCTTGAGGCTTGACCACTCAGTCACCTGTCACCGGTGTATAGGTCCGGCCCTTGTCCTCAACGAAAGTCGGCGAACCAACGAGATCTTGTCCATGTCTGATCGTTGTTCCCCGATGATAAACCCTTTCGAATCGAATCTGAACCCCCATCCGGATCGGCGCCATCGCACCCACACTGAGCGACACCCGATGTCCCTGTTTCTCGGGGGCGTTCAAGCAATATACAAGATACCAGTCTGGCCTCAACCAGGTTGCATGTTATCTGCCAGTGATTCACGCTCTCGCCATCCTTGGCCGCTGTCTATCGAATGATCATCGATATCTCTTGTGCCTCTGCTCCTTTGATCTCCGGGCTTCACTTCCCCTGGTTGACAGTGCCGACAACTTTCCCAGACATGCTATGTTCTCCTCCTGCTCAGGTTCCTGGCGTCGCTAACTAGTCGGGATTGGCCGGCTTCGTTCACTTTTCCGTTCGGCGTTTGGTCCGTCTGAATCACAAGACCCCCGTATGTTGTCATCATATTCCGTTTCGGGATATTTTCCTTTTTGACTTTCTCCATCTGTCAGACATATCATAACGCTGGCAGCTCAAAACTCATGATCTGCACAGTGGAGATCCAGGATACGGCCAGGGCGGCATCACATAGCAGCAGACGTGCCGCTCTCCTCTGGCCTGCAACTTATCTGCGGTTGACTACTTATCTACGACCTATCTGGGATCGACCTTGGTCTTGTCTCGTCCAAAAGCGGTGTTTTGACTTTGCCCCCATCATGCATTTCACCTCAGTCCGTTATTCAGGCACGAGAGATCAAGATTATTTTATTTTATTTCGAAATTCGGTGTACCCGTGCCGCGAAAAACGCCCGTGTGTGCGCGTTTTTTTTTGGCCCTTCTACTGTACTTACTCCAACTGGGTTCTGCTGAGCCTTGCTCAAGCCATCCGCAATGATCCGCTCTTCCTCGCTTGAAGGCTATCAATTGCTTGTGCTGGTTGTAGGCGCTGAGCGGGACGCGACCTGATGTGGCTTGGAAGGTGTATTTCTGGGCGCGGAAAACGCTGGGCACTGAGCGATGAGCAATCAGTGATGTGCTCGCTGCTTTCCCAACGGGCACGCACCTGGCATCTGCGAGCGAGTGCCCGACTGGGGCGGGCTGCGCTGATGTGTACCGCTGAAACTCGGGCCCGAGACTGGGAATATTGTCATACACATAAGCACATAATGAACAGGCAGGACATTGATGGGGCAGCGAAACGTTTGGAGTGTGCAGCGGTTCCTGAGCAGTATTTCTCGTGCTCTGGTGCATCGAGTGCGACTGAAACGGCATTCGGAAGTTGCGGCAGTGGAAGCGAGCGTCGGTTCTTGTTGCGTGATAAGAGCGCGGGTGTTCTGCGTAGAAGAAGGGATCAGCTCTGTGCTGGATACAATCCATTCGAACTCGGGACGATGCAGGAGTGACCATCTTCACCTGACGTCCATCTTGCTGTCCAGATCGGGACTCGGATCTGGAATCAGGTCTAACCGAGGTCATCCGTCTTTTCTTCCCACGATCTGCCTTCCAAGGAAGCCCCATTGGGTCCCCGAATACTATCTCGATTATTTGTGTTATATTAGATGTGCTCTCAAAAGCGCGCCGTCCACTTCCGTGCCCTGCCCCGCGATGCTCTCGCACCTCCATCCTCCTTCCCTTCATCTGCCCCGCTTCGACCACACTCACGACGTGCCCGACCCCCAGACCGTTCCCCGCTCCTCTGCTACTCTCTTCCAAGAAATAAACCGGCTCGTGGCTGATAGCGTCTCCCCGCTTTCGCGATCATCCTCTGGAACGGTGGAAGACGATACACCCGGCTCGCCCTCAGGGCCTAATTACCACTACGCGCCTCGTGCGTCGCGCTCCCCTTCGGACACGGCCTCCAGCACAGTCGGCCAACCCGTGGGCGCGTATGTTCCTCCATACACATACACCTCAGGGCGAGGGTCATTTCGGAGCGCTCCCTCCCCCGACGCGTCCTCTATGCCCCTCAGCGCGCCTAGTGGCCAGGATCGTTTTCAGATCCCAGCCTATTCCTCATCTTGTGCGGATTCGCTTGGGGACCGTCCAACGCGGCATGGGACTTTGCCTAAACTATCCACATCCAATATCTTTGACCGCCGTTTGTCTGAACCCACAGCCAACTATGTCCCGTCGACAGAGCGCATGCAGTCACAATATTCTTACCCGGCGTCTCCCCATTCTCCGCAGTCACCCTTCTCGCGACATAACTACGCATCTCCTGCCCCCCATCCCGAATGGAAACAAGAACCTGTCGAGCACAATCTCAATCTGTCCTCCTTCCCAACTTCCTTTGCGAGCGGTTACGCGAATTCTCCACCACTACAGTTTGCTTTTCGGGGCGGTGCCGATACTGCTGCGGGCGAGGATACCTATGGTCCTTCACCGCCAGGAACTGGTACATCCTCGTCATCGAATGCGGCAATGCCAGCTGCATTACCAGGGGAGCGCAGCCCCCAGCAGCACTCTGTGGACGACCCTACGAGTTCGAAGACATATTCGTTCGTGGCACTGCCCGGCAACGCCGTCCGCAAACGACCAAGACGCCGCTACGACGAGATCGAGCGCCTGTATCAATGCTCGTGGCCAGAGTGCACCAAAGCCTATGGCACGCTGAATCATCTCAATGCACACGTTCAGATGCAGAAGCATGGACCCAAGAGAAGCCCAGGGGGTAAATCATTCAATTTTCTGCACGCGATAGTCTGATGAACTGGTCCGCAGAATTCAAGGAGCTGCGCAAGCTCTGGCGCAAAACAAAGAAGGAGGCGGAGGCATCCTCCATGGCGGGCGCGGGTGCGTTGCGAAGAAGCATGAGCATGGGTTTCGGGATGGGACTTCGACGGGAGGATCTGTACCAGTCTCCCTCTTACATGCATGGACCCCCGCACCACCATCGATCATTTTCGCACCACTCCGCGTCCGGTCTGTCTCCGCCGTTGTCCGCCTCTTTACCGCATCATGCTTACGGCGTCGATGCCCACACATCAACACATCCGCTTCGATATAGTCCGGACGCTCACGCGCACACGGCACAGGCTTACGGCGGTGCAGACTTCCGGCCGGCTGCTTCGGGTCCATGGACGTCGTCTTCGCGGCTGGATCTGTATCAGGGTCAGCAGCATTCACCGTCCAGTGCTTATGGATACATTGACTCGGGTGGCTCGGGCTCAGCCACTGAGATGTATAACCACTCAGCGTCCACGCCCAGGGCGCGCCTTCCGTCGAACAGCATGTTGTTGACACCCCTGGTTGGCCCTGCGCATGCTCACGGGACAGAGACCTATGCTGCCGTGGCCGACAGCTACTATGCTAAACGTCGCGAAGGCAGCGGCGACGAGTACTGAGCGATGTCGCATCCCTTTCTTGCCCACGGACATGTTTTCTTGGGGTCGTGTGTCATCTCCATTACATCTGTCTGCCCGTCGTCCTGTTATCATGCTGACTACGCTACTCTTGGATTTATTGCTGCACATACTTACCTGTTATACGGTATGTAACTTATTCCATCATATGCACTGTATATTGTTTCGTACTGCTACCACAACTTGTACATTGACCCGCTAGACAAAATAAGCATTCTGTCCTTCACAAAATCTGTCCATCGGAAGCGAATGTCTGCTTCGCGACTTCTCTTCCGATTGGCAAGCCAACTGCGATGGCTTCTCAAGGTGGCTGCCTTCTCTTACGTGAGCAACCTTAACGGATCCCTGAACACCACCCACCCATGAGTGGGAGCCTCAACGCGGTCATCAACTCACGTTCAGCACGCATCAAACAGCGCCGGAAAAGTGTAGATGAAGCGAGCAGATGATGCTCGGCTTACATCCGTTCGATGGAGGGACCAATAGGAGCGAGCGGGATCTATATATGTGCTTCACATCTTGAAGATAGGCGTGTGCCCGTGACGGATGGTGGAGGTCGCGCGTGAATTTGAAAGATCTGCGATGTAAGCTGTTGTGACTGCACACTCATGCGCGCCCGACCGTGACGTCTTGGACGCAGATCTTCAGCTTTTACTGCCTCATCAGGTCGCATGGAAACGGAGCTGACCCGAAGGATCGTTGTAAGAGCTTCCCGAGATTCCACGCACCCGTAGGTAGCAGCCAGACAGCATCCATTCAAGGTCGAAACAGTCGGGGGCCGGGACCAAGAACGTGCCAGACGCCGAGTGTCTACAGTAAATAGAACGTTATCGCGCGAGCGGAACGTTCCGCAGCGTGTAATTGATGAATGCACGACGTGAACGTATTCGCGAAAGTGCCAAGGATGGTCACGGTATGCGGTCAAGCGCCTTATCAAGTCACCGCGCCATGGTCTTGAGGCACCAGTTCACCGATGGTCACTGGCCAGACTCTCACGTTCCCGGTCACCGGATCTGTGTCCTTCCCAAACAATTGATCGCAGCTTTCATAGATATCGTCGGTGGGTAAGTAGCAGAACCTGATATCGACAATCCGGGCCGTAGCTATCTGTCCTCAGGGTTAGGGCTTCAATTGACGTCATCTCACTTGATGCCTGCGTAGAACTGGGCGCAGCTCTAGCTCCATACTCGACCATCATGACTACGATGGAAATGCTGCCCGTCGAACTCCTTATCGACCATCTCGTCCCGTTCTTCGATGTACAGAGCATCCTCCGGCTCGCCTGCACGAACAAGGTGCCTGCCACACATCTAAGCGAGACTCACGCGTCATATCGGTCCACAGTTCTTTGCCAACTTGTGTTCCGACGAGGTTTTCTGGCAACGAAAACTTCAGGAGGATTTCAATTTCTCAGGTGATCAAACGCGTCGTAACGCATCTAATTGCGGCTGATGTCGTGTTAGGCGCCGACACTGCGCGTGTCAGCGGCTGGCAATTCATCTATCGCGGCCTCTACAATCCCAAAGGTGCTGTGACTTGACCTCCGATCGCTCCCCACCTAAATGCTATCCAGTATTTGTATGGGGGTAAGCCGTCCCTGACTGACCGACACATTACGATCAATAAAGCTGAGACAGAGAATATACCCGTGGACGTCTGGGTCTAGGAGATAAAATCCCCAAACACAATCGCTCAGCCGGTGGCGTCCCATTCCCAACCGAACTCAAAATTCCTGGTGTTCGGATTGTGAGTTTGGTGGCCGGTGGAATGTGTGCTTGTCTGTTGTATTGTTCGTCACGTTCACTGATTATGGCAAGGTCTTTCCATGCATTGGACTCCGAAGGACACATATTTGTTTGGGGCACCCTGGATGGCACTACGATGACTTTGAACAGCGATGGTTATTCTCAGGCAGGCAAGACTGCCCCGAAACCTTTGCGATTGGAGTTACCCAGCTATATAACACAAATCAGGTGAGTTGCCTCCGCTGCTCTCTTAAGCAACATGAATAATATGCATCAAGCTGCGGTCGGCTGCATGCTTCTGCGCTGAGCTCGACGGGACAAGTCTGGACGTTTGTCAACTGGGGACGTCCGTTTGTTCTGACCTCGCAACACATCACGAACGACTCGCGGCCAGTCCAAGTGGAATGTGGGTGGGGCTTCTCGTCTCTCTTGACGAGATCGAATGAGGTCTTCGTGTGGTGGCCTCGTTCCGGAAGTATTGAGCAAGAGACCGATGCTAAATTTGCGGAGATGGATGACCAACGTCAATTCGCCGCGCGAGCATTGCCAGACGGTGTCATTCCGTGCGTGACCTGGGAGCTGAAGGTGGATCCGTACAGGCTTCCGCCAATCCCGTCGCTGCCCAGAATGACCGAAACTGGGGAGGAAGTCGAAGGAGAACCCAAGATAATCAAGGTGATTGATTCAGCGCACGGCATGGCAACCGCTGAAGCTGAATTAGATTGCGGGCATGGATGCGAATCTAATCGCGCTGACTAATCATGGGCATGTTCTCATGTTTTCTGGTTTGTCTGATGAAGATACGGTGGCCAGCGGTCGATGGTCATATGTGCGCAATGTTGTCTTCTTTCACTGGTTGTTTAATCAAAATCCTACAGCTTCCCAACTTCAGCGAGCTCGATCGCGTGCAGTCTGTGCCTCCATTTAGCACAGATGTGGCACCGCCACGGACTATGAAGATCACACATGTGAGCCAAATCTTGCTTGCCATGCCAGATCCAGACGGCGCGCCTAGATATCAGCCAATTTCGAGAGATTCTTCGCATACTCGACCGGTCCGAGTTCCGTTGTACTCATGGGGAATACCGATACCACGGGAGAATCCATCCCTTACATTGAAGCTGCGCTTGTCGATAAATCTGTCATTTCTGTGCTCGTTGGCGATTGGCACTTTGCAGCTCTGACATCGTCGGGCAAACTCTTCACTTGGGGGGCATATTCCAACGGAGCTCTGGGTCTTGGCGATCCCACCCAATTGCCAGCCGGTTCTCCCGGTGGATTTGCGACGGAAGCCCAGCGTTTGAACGCGATTGAGCGTGAAGCCGGCAGCCCTCCCGATACAACTGTCCCCACGCCTGTCCGATTCGATCATGCACGCAAGTCACCCAAGGAACGTTTCTGTCTTTTGGCATGTGCCGCCGGCTGGCACACAGGTCAGCGGTTGATCTGTTCCGTTGACTGGGTCAGTTGCTGATGCTGTTTCTAGGTGCTTTAGCAATCGACCTTGAGGTCAAGCAACTGATGACGCTGGTTAATGTTTGCTGATTCGTTGTGTAGGCCGATGACGACGATGAGCTGGAGCAAGAGGAAATTCAGCCGGAGCGTCGTCAGATACTCCACAGACGAGGTCGAGGACTTCCCCTTCACGGGCCAGACTTTCCTAATCTTCCATTCGGTGGTGGGATCTTCCGCGTCGGTTTCGCCGGCAGAGGCGCTTCCCGAGGCGGTCGGGCAATGTAATGAATTGGAATCAATTGCAAGATGCTCGTGAATGAACGTTATTCCCAATGTATTCGAGTACACATCTGTACGAATGTCTGTTTCAGAGCCCCATGTTCCGTCGACATCCAAGATGATCCGGCAATGAATCTAGCAGTCCACATGGACTCAAGACTCCCGCACTTCAAATAAGCCATCAGGATTCTGCAGCGACAGGATCGCGTCTTGGCGTTCAGATCGATATCGTGTGAGGATGCCGGATGACCTCGCTTCCGCGTGTGTGTGACCCCGAGATCCTGGTCAACTGTAGCCGTCTGGTGGGCATCAGACGCCGTCGGGAACCGGCATCCAGTTCGGGTCTTTGGCGGATGTCGTGCGTACCAACGTGCAACGATGCCGAAGAAAACGGGCTGGCGCGGCACCGGTGCGAGACGTACGTACCTTCTGAAAGTATATCATTCCAGATACCCGTTTGCACACGATGTCGTTCTCGGGAGACTAGCGCATACGGTTAATTCTTGCGGCGCTTGATGAGCCTAAGAGAAGCCAATAGCGCCGTGGCTGTGAACGGGTGCTGTCGCGACTTCTTTCCGAACACACAAGGTGCCCACTGGCAGTCTCCGATAGGTATCTTGCAGAGCTTCTGGCGTTCGCTCGATGTCGCGTCGGGAGCGGATACAGACAGGCGCATTGATGGTTCCGGGTGGCGCTACACCAGTCTGATTCCAAAGCATGTCTGACGAGCAAATGCAAGTCGCATACCCTGCCGACTCTGTGCACGTGCAAAGCTTCGACTGTCACGTGAGAAGCCTCTGCTCTCCCCGAGACCGCTCAATTTAATTTGAGCGAACACAGATTTCGTTGGGAATGACTGAGAAAGCTGAGAAATTGGTTCAGTTGTTCGGAGACCAACACATCTCATTGCTCCTGTGAATGATAACGCCACGATGATCATTCTCGAATTTCGATGGCACAACAGAAGACAGATTGTTGAAGAAAAGGTCCTGTGAGGGTAGAGAGCTCCCCGGAACCATTCTCAGACGTCTCTCAAAAGCACAATGTAATGTGAACGAGTTCTGCAAATGCTTAGTCAGCCACGGACGATAAAGGGTGGTTACGTAAGGTAAAAACGATCAGGCGTCTTTTGCACCTGACCACACTCGCTCAACTCTCGCCGCGTCTGCGTCGTCCAACACCATCCAAACTGGCCTAAACACACTCGCTTCCGATAGCAGTCGCTTAGTAGTCACTCGCGCTCACTATCTCCGTCGTCTCATCGCGGTCGAAGATCAGTGAGTCCGCCGCTCATGCTTTTCTTACCTCCAGATGAGACCTAGATATATTTGCACGTCAGTCAGAGTAGAGACTTTCAGAGTTCTCCGCACAGGACGCTAAATTTCGCATTTCTGACCCTTCTCTTATCGTTCCGCTTATGTTCGCAGAACTGACAACACTTGCAGTCCTCGCGCTGACCGTGCATTTACGGTTGACTTCAGTAATAGTGCTCACTATCGTCAATTTCTTCTGCCGGCCTTCTTCGGTCAATGTCTAACGGCGCCTCGACGTCCAACAATGGCCCAAGCGTCCCACTTGTCCCCACCAACACAGTTACCACTGCTTCTGGTCTGACTGTCCGTACCCGCATCGATCCAGTTCTTACAGTCGACGATGTCGTGAGGCAACTTTGTATCAATCTTCAAATCAACGATCCGCCTGGGCATTTTGCGTTGAGGGATGAGAGCGACGAACTTGTCACCAACGACAACCTGAGGAAGAAGATCAAGGCCAAGGTCAACCTCAAGTGCGTTGGGTTCACGTTCACTCCTTACTCATTCTTTCTAATCCTGGGCTTAGGCTGGTCGACGCACCAGCTCGAGAAGCCCGCGAGGTCGCCGACAAGTTGAAGCTACGTGAAGACACCCTCAAGATGACTTTATTTACTCTCCAAAAGTACATTCGAGTACGGTTTTCTGTAGTCATGTCTGCAATCTGTGTCTCAGATAGCTTCAGGAAGAGCAATTCGCTCAATCTTTTATCAACTGCTCTGGCTTGTCAGACCTCATAGACGTGATCTTCAGCGCGCACGGTAACACCTTGGCGGTACGTGCGAGTGCTCACTGTTCTTCCTTACACTGAATGATTGACTGCTTGTCAGTACGCACTCACTGCCATGCAGAATCTGATGGAGCTTGACTACGGGTGGGCAACCCTTGACGATGCGTTCATCTTGCAGATCGTCCAGATATTGTCTTCGCCAACTTCGCTGATCAATGTCTGTCGTCCGGCGACGGCCATCTTGAAGAAGCTGGTCGAAGCGGATCCGATGAGTGCTCCTGGCATGCAGCTTGCTGGATCTAGTCGGCTGCCACCGGCTGTCTCGGACGGCTCTGTCTACCGCTATGGATTCTCTGTTGTCTTTGAGCAGATGAGAAAGGGCCGAGGATTTCTGGAAACTGTGATCAGTCGTCTGGGCAGTGCAGATACTGCTATGGCTCAATACAGGTTCGGTGCATCGTCACTCGTTCTGAACAGCCTTACGATCGTTTCTAGCATCATGCTGATCAACTCACTTCTTTCGCATGCGAGCGACGCTCGATGGGAAGAATTCATATCCGAACTCGAACGACTCAATGTCCGAAAAGCAATCGTGGTGTGTTGCGCCTCGTTACTCCGAATCTGAGCCTTCGTCTCACCTATTCTCAGAAACTGATGTCCTCGCATACAAGCGAGGATCTGACCTCATCCATTCTCGACTTTCAAGCCAATCTCATCCGCGTGACCTATCGTAAGAAGACCATGATGATCGATCCAGAAAGCGAGCCAGCCCACGCCGCAACGCTCAAGGCCATATGGGCTAGCAGTCATGTATCAGAAGCCATCGACAGCAACGGACATCTGATGAAATGGCGACTGCTAGGTTTTGACTCAGAGAACGTCGAAATGGAGTTCACTGATGTCGGGGTGTTGGGCTTAGAATGCTTGGTCTGTCCTCCACAGTTTTTGTATGTTTATCATAGGGTTCTGACTACTTACAGCACAAGTTTATCGAGACAGACCCGGATTTTCCCAAGGTGAGTGCATGTCGATCTATCCTTCAGATTGTTTGACATGCAGATAGATCGTTCAAGAACAACTGAGCCGTCCGCCCAATCGACGCTGTCCCATAGCCAAAGCGTCAAACGAAGTGGTCGAGATGCTATCAGAGCACTGGGCGATTTTTGCACCGGGATATTCGACCTCGATAGCATTCCAGCCGTTCTTCCTCGACTTCTATCGGGTCCACGCATTAGCGACCCGTTTCTTCATCCGAATGTGGTCGGACAGTGGAGCTGCTGCTGGTGATTTTGCGCGGGTTGCTGCTTTGGTCCGAAGCCAGTATGTCCGCGCTGATGTGGTGATTGAAGGGAGATTGACCCCATTTCTAGATCGAAATTAGCACTTCGCAGCGAGAATGTGCGAGCCTGGCACGAGGTCGAGCGTGATTTCAATGAATGCGAGTACCGGCGTGTGCGGGAGAGGCAGATGAAAGACCTGGAGCTGGAGGATGACTTGCTGAGCAAGATTCCCATTCGGTCCGTCATATCTGTCACATGCGATCGCTGACTAATTGATTCACTGCAGTAACCTGCGAGCCAAGTTGTACAAGGAGTCATTCGAATTCGTCAAACAACAGAGAATACAGTGTCTGCTTCAGGGCGCCTGGTTCATTAACGCTGTTCCATTGGGTTCTTCTGCAGCACGTGAAGCACCTCGGCGGCCGACACGACCCTGGCGCTTCATGCGATTGGTTGGTGTGCCATGCTTCGGTCGAGTAAAGTTGCTGACGTGAGATGTAGGACCCAGGGCTCAAGTATCTGTACTATGCCGACAGCACCGTCAAATTTGCTGTGCGCAGTGGGTTCGAGGATCTCCCAGAGCGAATCGATGTTTCTGCGATCAGTGAAATCGCGACAGGCACTGGTTTCGCTCCGCCAAATGTTCTGCGCGAACCGGGGGATCTGCCGCCGACCTCACCGCCGACCGCATCGCCGCTGTCATTTTCCCTGCTCAGTGCTCATCAAGGATCGCTGGCTGATCAAGTTGCACCCGACCAGTCGCGTTGGGCTGATTGGACGGATGGCCTGAACATGCTGCGCCGGGACAGCGGGCACGTCTCCTCCGATGAGACGGCTGGCTTTGTCCAGGCATTGACGGAGATTGGGCTCAAGATCAAGCTTTTGGGTCAGTGGCAGCACTGGCTGTGTCATGAAACAAACCTGCTCACCAAGATGTTCAGATTTGACGGGGGAAATGGTCGAGATACCGAGCGGATTGGTCGCTGGGCCCCCGCCTGCCAATACTGACTTCTTCTTTTCCGAGCTCATGTAACTTTAATTCTGTTCTGTATTATGGAGACTGTATCAACTGCCTGTAAATGGAATTACATCTGTCCCTTGCGCATCAAATTTCGCCGAATCCGGCGCTTTTCCGCGCCTAGGCCTTCACTTTTATCCCACTGTAGAAATGGGGCTTTGGGGTTCTCGCCCTGCTCCCGAAAGTCAAGCATCCCCCAAACTGGGAGTTCCATTTCGCCTTTGACTAGGACTCGGCCGTTCGCGAGGTACCGCGGCGGGAGAGGGGTGAGAATGTGGCACGCGTTGGGCGAAACTGCCCGGATGAAAGCAAGGCCGCGGCAGTTCGAGGTTGAAGTTGATGGTGGCCCATCGCCCTGAGTGTAGGGAATAGAGTTTCCAGAGGGAACTGGATTTGCTGACATCTGCACATCGAGTGATCCCGGTTCACAAGCGACGAGACCGACCAAAGCGCCATTGAGGACCCGATCGATCTCGGAGGGAACGACATCTTCGGCTCCAGCGCCACTCAGCACGATTTTGTCGAATGCGGCAGCCCAATCGACCTCGTACGGCGCACGACCGCTCAGCGGCACTGCTGTGTTCCAGCTCTCTGCTCGCATCTCCGCCTCCGGCATTTCCTCCGATTCTCCATCACCGCCCGTTTTTCCGTGGGGAAAAACGGCGTGGAAGTACGAGAGCATCGAGATCGCGCGGCTGTCCGAGGCTGTGAACGTATCCGACAGCCCGGATGGCGCTATGGGCTGGAGAAGATGGATATGGGCAGCAGGTAGATCATCCGGGACCGCGTGAGTTTCAGGCGGCTCGAATTGGAAGATGTGTGTCGGGCGCACGATCGCTTCGATTGACAGCGTCAGATCAGCCCCCAGACCTTTCGACCAGCCCATCGTGTTCACCACAAGCGGGATGCAGGCTGATATCCGTCCTTCATCCGGTCCCGGGGTCGCTGGCGTCTGGACATCCAGCTGATAGCTTTCTATCGCAGATTGTATCGCACTTAGATAATGCGAGGGCGAAGACCGCGGAGTCAGCTGCCCAATGTAGTGAGCGTAATTCGGGATGCTTGGGTGTGAGAACGGAGGGCCTGCAAAACATCATCAGAGCACATTCATTACACTTGACGGACGTCTCCTTACCAAACACGAGCTTTTCAACAATATTCAGAGCCACCAACCCACCGGGCGTGAATTCAGATTGTCCTAGATCGCATTCAAGATAGGCCACCTTGCTGAATCTGGGCAGATAATCAGACGGAGCATCTCTGACGGAGAATCTACTACCTGCCAAGCAACTGATTCACTAATGTCCGACAAAAAGTGCTTTTCCCTGCCTTTTTGTGGCCTTTGATGAGAAATATCCCGGACGGAGCATCAGACACGGAGGCCAGGCCGGCCTCCCAACTTGGGGAAATCACGAATGGCAAAAGATCCTTGCTTTGACGCGCGACCTTTGGACTGCAATCGGTATGTGTGCCAATGAATGCAATGATAGCACATACCGCATACACGCCTGGGATCTGGAGCACGTCCTCCGCCTCGTCCATCCGTCTTGACGGCTCGAACACACCGCCGAACGTCTGCACGATCCGACCAAGTCCCTCCACTCCCGTCTTGAGCTGCTGCAACACCACGACCGCTCGCCCCTCCGCACATGCGGCCCGTGCTCTCGGCGGCACGTCCAGCTTGTTCAGCCCCGCACGCGCAGACGTCGCGATGGCCTTGAGTACGGGCAGGGCCGAGCTCCTCGGCGCGTAGACGCGTTGCGCCGCCGGAGACGCGTTCAGCATGACGCCATACAGCGATACCGCGCCGCGCATGACGGTGAGCGCATAGACGCCGAGCAAGGTGAGTGTTTGCCCCGGCGTCAGCACAAGCAGCGAGGCCGGCGCATCGCCGGAGAGACCCAAGAGCAGCTTTTCTTCATGTCCGAGGCAGAAGAGCGTCTCGTCAGGGACTGCATGGAACGTCGTGAAAGGGATGTGCGGAACGAGCGGAGTGCTGGCGGGAGCCCTTGAAGTATCACTTTGATCCTCCTCATCTTCGTCTTCGGAAGAGTCGTTTAAGGGGGCACTAGGAGACCATGCACGCTGCCCAGTCTGGGGCGGGCGAGATGTCGTTGTCGGTGTCGTCGATTCATCCGCTTCCACCTCCACTTCCTCCTCAGAGTCGATCACGATCAGATCCGGCTCGCGCCTTTCCAGCGCGTTTTCAAAGTACCGCACGCGCCTCACCTCCGGCTCGCGTTTCTTTTTGTGCTTCTTCGATGAGGGCAGGGTCTGCTGCTGCGAACTTGATTTTCGCTTGGAGATAGGTCGGGCAGAGATCGGAGACTGCGGAATCTGCTGTTGGATAACATTGCTGCTCGAGACCGGCTGGGGTGGAGCTGAGGCAGAGGTGGGCGGCGCGTTCGCGGCCTGTGCCTTGCGAGCGGCGAATGCGCTCAACATTTTTCTCTGACATCTGATGCGATTGATGATTGGACAAGTGTGACACAATGGGTCACAGCCAGATACATTCTATCGATTTCAACAACGTACTTAACTTAGTATTCAAGTAAGTTATGCAAGTACAATACAGATGGTATTTGGCAGATCTAGCGTGGTATTTAGCGGAGTCGTGGGTCTGGGGCTGACCCCTGGCTCGGATAAGCGTCCCAAGCACTCCACATTTGCATTCCATCCTCGCGGGGAATGTGCCTTTGAGTCGGATGGTCCTGGTATGGCGAATAATTGGTGGCAATGTGGTTGTAGAAAGCCTCGGAGACGGGGAAAGATGGGGATTGGGATGGAGGTGCCGAGGGCGGGTGTGACATGGTCGTGTCACCGCCCGGGTACCAGTTGCGCGCTGGTTGATTAGCGGCATATCCAGCAGGAACAGGAACGTATCCCATTCTTTTGGCCGGCTCCTCGTAGTGGCTCCGATGGCTGGAAGTGGAAGAGAGCGGCGTTTCGGCAGGCAGATGATGGACGTCTGAAACGTGGCTGCGACTCGTGGCGCTCGACAACGAGGTCTGCGGGTAGGGGTATGACGAGTGCGCACGGTATTGCTCGGGAGACGTGCCCGAGATCGGGTTCTCCTGGTAATAGCTGGCAGGGGGCACATGGAACTGGGTATTGATGGGTGGGACGACCGGAAAACTTGGCCGCCGTCGGCTGTCAGCGGGATCATCGAGCGGATCGCCGTGGTTTTTGAAGTCGCCGTGGCTCCTGAATTGCTCCTTGGCCTCATTCGCATCTCGTTCCCTTTTGCTCTGGGGCATGGTCGTGCCCAACGGTCTGCCGATGTCGCTCAGTTCAAACAGAAGATCGTAGAGTACGCCGGAAGAGAACCAGCTGGAAGACGACAGACGCCCCGGTGAGTATCGGACAGAAAAGTGAGCCAACACAAGCACGCACCGCTCTTCGCCGGCTTTGATGAAGCGCATGCAGCGCTTGACGTCCGCAGAGTCCTGGATTGGGTCGGTGGTCAGCCCCAGACCGTTGTACTCGCCGCCCCAGTAGTTCAACAGCAGTATCAATCCTGCCGTGTAAACAGGCAGCTGGTATTGCATCAGCTGCGGGCAGAAGAGGGAGAGCACGTCGCAAACCTGGCTCTGCGGCAGAGGCCGGTCACCAAATCGGCGCTGATAAGCGTCCACCACACGACAACACGCTTTGGCTGCGTTGACACAGACCGCAAGAGACGAAAAGGCCTAGGCAGTGGAGGGTGAGGACTGGTGGTGCAGACCGTGGGATGCATGGATGACTAACGGAAGACGTTTTCGTTGACGTGTTCATCGGTATGAGTCGGCGGTGAACAGTAATCCGGATGTGATAGTAGCTGCAGTGCAGAGATACCGATTGCTGGAAGAATTCTTCGTTTTCCATGATGGAACTCCATCTCACTGCGGGTGGTGTGTGACTGGATGTCCCTGCTGGATTAAATAACGCACGGTGTTCAGGCAGTTCTCGCAGCCACTTGTCCAAAGCAGAATCTAATTCAGCGACAATGCGGCTGCTCCAGCTCTTGTCCTTGGTGAGACTGAATAAGGCTTTCGACTTGATGGTGGAGTACTGCAAATACCCGTCAGTTTGGCGATGGAGCGATGATGTCAAAGCCTACAAGAGTTCGGAGAGCAAAAGATAGCACTTGAGAAAGCCGGAGGAAAGCATTGAAACCACAAATGGTGGATGGCCGATTTTTCGGCTGACGGAACGCCAAGGCGGGATCTTCGGTTTCCCAGAATTCGTCGTCGCATTCAATTGGGAAATCAAGATCAAAGCTAAAACGAGGTCAGGATCGTATGTCGATAGAAGCCCAAAAGACTCACTCTTCGTCCTGGATCGTGACCGGCCGCCCATGCTGGAGCGAAGACATCCTATCCAGCATAATAAGAACCCTTCGAAGGTCTTGTCGTCAGTGGGGTTATAGCTAAATCCGATGATATCGCACCAGAACGCTCTCTTCCACAATTCATCCTCGACTGTCCATACATGGGTTCCATCTTTCCGTCGATGGGCGCCTGATCACACTTAGTCAGCTCAGGCTCGGAAAGGGGAAGAAATGTTCTCACCGACGTCCTGCGCCATACGAATACCCATGGCAACGAGCGTCCAACAGCACTGCGGGACAGACGAGCCGTGTAGAAATGTAACAGACAGCTGCCGTGCGCGCTCAGCCGACAAGAAGCGATAAGAAGTGGACAGCAGCATACGGCATTGGACTGCACATCGTACACAGTCGGCGAAGGGCCCAGCGGATCGCGGACCAGTTGCACCTGCTCAAACCAGGGCCATCCACGCGAGTATCGATCGTCGCTGCCGGAGATGAACACGCGGGGGTCAAGGCTATATCTAGCGCCAATGGCGCAGACAAGAAGAAGCGTCGAAGCGAAGCCATCATTGACCAGGTGCAACTCTGCCCTGAGATCACGAACAAATGTCGGGCGGTGCAACAAGGGCAGAAAGCTGTTCACTTCGGCAAAGTATAATTCCACAAGAGCATTTGTCAGATCCGGAGGTGGGAACCGGTACTGTGCACGAGGCTGGGGTTCATGAACCTGCAGGCACGGGTAAGTGACGCCAAGATTCACAGGCAGCAGCAGCTTGAAGCGACGAACAGGACGTGCGGCCCAAAACTGGATGGGCCGGCGGTCAGTTGGAGGCTCTAGATGTTGTTTGTAGTCCAACGCCGTCTGTAAGAGCATAGTGCCGGAAGACCGCCCATAGAACAGATCGTCCCTTTCGGTGTTGAGGGAAAGGCGTTGTAGATTTTCGGTGAGATTGAGCTGAAAAGCGTCATCATCGTCTTCGTCTGTGGGTTGCGATGGCCCCCATGTTCCTGATGTGCTTCCGGCCGACTGGGAGAGGGTGAGAAGGACCCGGGCTGCTATCGTAGATCTCACTGTCTTCAAAATTGTTCTATCCTCTCAATGCGACTTTCGATGCTCTCGATGTACCTGCACGCGCGCCATCGTATACCGACGTTGAGCCCCTATGAGATGGAAGGTGCTTACCCTTTTGGAGGACCCCGTTTCTGTGGATTCGGTCTGTAAGCGCCCGAGACTGCCGTTGATGTCCTCACCTTGGCTGCCTCCACATACGAGCACTGGGATCCGTACGATGCACAAGTGGAGCACTGCGTGCCTATGGGCATCTGGGCCGCATCGCCTAGATTCCGAACGTGCATTAGGAGCTTCGCTGCCGAACGTTCCGCCTCCACATACATCGGACTACACAGTGCCGCCAGCCCCGTCAGTTGACGCACAGGGCAATTCCGGGGAACGCACTTTTCTTGCGTCGGCATGAGTCGCATGCGCGCTGGATCTTCCTCTTCTTGAGGCTCGTTTGGCCGTCGTACTCGTCGGTTTCGTCGGACATGACAGGAGTGGGTCAGAAAGACGCGTTCACGTGCCGAAGAAGATCGCCGTGGCCGGGTGACCTGATGGGTTCACCAGCCATGTCTGTGGACTTCTATGTATGCGACTCGAAGATCCAGAGCGACACAGCAGAACACAGAAAGTCAGAAGATGAGAGCAATCTGAAAGGCACGCCGTGGCGGGACAGCTTAGTTTGATCGGTGGCTTTAGAGGCAAGTCTCCGACGCCCGATCAGCGCCGGGCCAGCCGGAACCAGGGAACTTTTCGAGAGGGCGAGGAAGGGGGGGTCGCACTTGCTGGACCAGACGCAATTAGACTGCAGACAATGAGAGAGAGAAAAGTTACAAGGAAGCGATGAAAGATTTACCTAAACTTCTTGCTGAGGCGCGTGTTTTCACAACATTCGGCCAGCCTAGAGCTACGGTCACGTTGCGAAAGAGGTCCTTAGTTTCGGGCTGCCATTGAATCAAATCCCAGTCCATTTCGGTCAAGTACATTCATGCATAGTGAGGATACGCGTGACAAACTACTGAGAAAGCATCTCCGTCCAATTTCCTCGCTCAAACATCGTACTTGAGATGGACGGCAAATCAGCACAGCGTGATTGGCACAAGCGATTAGCCCACCTGGATGGCCATGCTTGTGGGCCAGGGACAAACAAACATCGCATCATCAAGATATCCGTAGCGCAAATCTGGGCGCGATCCGTCCTTGAATCTGAAAGAGAACATTGAGCCATCGCATCACATGGGCCCTGTACATGCAATCGGACCTCTTGAGCTTGCCAGATTGACCCGGCGCGCGGGCGACATTCTTCAAAGAGTAAACCGAGCGCAAAACTTCGGACATGATCCGCAAAGTCAGTTTCTCGCCCAGGTACTTGAAGGCTCCATCTGGATGGATGTAGCCTGCTTCCGGGTGGCGACTCGGATCAATGACCGTTGGCTCTGGGAAGACACTCGTGTCGAGACTGGCATCCCCGACGTCCAGGAAGATGCGGGTGCCTTTGCTAAACTTGGTTCCCCCAACTGTCACATCGTCGGTAGCAGTGCCTGCAATGATGTGTAAATACCGAGTGACGGAACAGCACGTGGCATACGGTAGACTCCCTGGAATGGAGGATCGAGTCCTGCAGATACACGAGGTCAGACAGATCAGCAGTCTAGACCTGGTTGACTCACGCTGGGATTCATGAACGAAACCGTCCAGATCGCTCTTGGACGCTACCGCAGAGCGGACCTTCGCGTCAGCATCCGTGTCGAGGAACGTATTGATCATGTTGACGAGGCCTGACGAATGAACGACTGAATATCAGAAAGCCAGTTCGACACACCCAAAGAAAGCTCCGCCGTCGATCCGACCATCAGAGCAAGGATGATGGTGGCAGCCTCAGATCCATGGCCCATCTCACGCAGGCGCTTGACGATCTCGTGCTGCTCCGGCTCGTTCTTCTTCTTCGTAAACAGAGACTCGACGACAGAAAGCTGTGATCCTTGAGCCACAGTTTCAGGAAACATCCCAACAGTCCAAACACACCCGGGAGCTCAAGCCAAGATGGGACTTGATGTGCGACAGCAGGCCATCGATGTGCCCCTGCACTTGGGTGCGCAAGTTCATGCTCTTGGCCTTTTCGCCATCCAAGAAGATGTAAGAATAGATATCACTCAGCATGTCGTACAGATCCGCGGGAGAATAGTCCCCGTGCGGAGTTTCTTTGGTCTTGAGAGTGAGGCCAGAGATATCTGCTGCCCAGTACACAGGAAGGACCTTGAGCACGTCCCGAACGACGTCGACTACAGCGGTCTTGCCGCCCACAAGGGTGAACGAGTGCTCTGCAATCAAGCTCCCAGCCTTCTCACGGAAGAACGCGCCGATCTTGTTCTCGGTCTCAGGGTAGTTGAAGAGCTTGGTGTAGATTTCTTTTTGCTCAGCATCACCCTCGGCAATGAAGAAACTGCGGAACATCAGCTTGTGTATGATTCCCCAGTTATGATCACTGACCCCTTGCCCTTGACGACCTTGGCGGCTCGTTCCGCATAGGGAGCAACCAATTTGCCATTTTGCATGATCTCCGCAATTTGGTTGTAGTTCTGGATCGACACTGGAGGAGCGATGTCCTGCGGCCGAGTGAGGTCATAGTCTTGGACGAGATGCAGCTTGGTCAGGTTGGTCTTCATGGCACCGGGGGTCATCAACGGGAAGAAGGTGTATACGCTGTTCTCCGTAAAACTGTTCGGAAGTGTGCGGAGGAAAAGCCGTCCAAGAGTGCTTCCGAAACCTTGCGCGCATTCAGATCAACGCAGGCAATGAGCGGTCCCGGAACTAACCGAACGCATCGGGATCTCGCTGGCAGTCTGCGAAGCCCCAGGCAGTCAGATTGTAGGGCGTGTAGTCCTGCGTGAAGTGTCGATCTCCGCTGTGCGATGGGTGAGTCTTACGTGCACGGCTTGAAGCCAGCCACGCACCGAGTCAAGGCAATGGCGTCACTGAGGATCGCACGACTGATGGTGTAACCTGGTCAAGCTTCGTCAACGGGGATCTTCCGCGTAAGCTCATACTTACCAGGGCAAAGTCCGGCACCGTCCACGACAGGCTTAACCTCCTCCGCTTGCAATCCGACGTACAGCTCGAGGGACTCGATGTTGCCGTAAAGCTTCTCCGCAGCGTCGGCAATGATAGGGTCCGGGTTCCATTCGAGGAACGTCGCATATGCTGCGAAAACGTGAGCAGAGAACGGCAGTTTGACAGCAGCTTCTTTTACGCTTCAGGCCCAGGTACTGGAGGAAGAGTCAGCAAATGCGCATTTGGTGAGCAGACAGGCGAACCCTTCGGAAATCATTCAGACTACAGACACCCCAGCGCCGGTTCTGTTCAATCCCCATCATCTCATGCAACCTCATGGATGGTGGAGTGCCCCGAGCTCTGAAAGCAGCAGCCGGGTTCTCCGTCGCGTTATGCAGGATGCCGGCAAGATCCGAGTCCTTGAAAGTGCCATTGGCCTGGCGCTCTAGTCTCCCAAAGGTCCAATGCTGGATGTCCGGCTGCATTTTTTGCACTTTGTACGCCGCAGCCTATGCACGCCATTCAATCAAACACCACAAGGTAAGCTGCGATTACTAACCTTGAAATCAGCAGGCGTGACCTTCTCCGGGTCCTTTCCATCGAAAACCTCCCTGAACACTTCCGTAACCCACTCCTCATCTGCTTTGGATGTCGTCGCATGCCAGCGGTATAAGCTGCATGATCCGGTTAAATCCTATTCAGATAGCCTATGAACCATGCTGACCAGTTGAACTAGAGGAATTCAGATCCTGGTAAGGACGCACAAAAGGAAAGCTCACCTCGACACTGCAAACATTGCCCTGCCCACGTTCAAAGATGGAATGGTCAGGGGACCGCATTTCCTTGGACGAGCGTCATCAACATCGTAACAGTGCACAAGACATTTACTCACGCCAAAGGGGTTCAGACTCCAACTGCTTCCGTCTCGGAGCAACCCCAAGATCGAGGAGAAGTAGTCCGAGAACACCACTGGTCATGGGGTAAGAAGCGAAGAAGCAGATCGAGAGACCACTTGCCAGACCCAAACCATCCACAATTAACCAAGCGTCCGGTTTGGAACAACTCTTCGTCCTGTGCGAGGAGCTTGTCACCCGAGAGCGTACTGGGATCTTGATATGTTCCACGTTCGTTGATCTCGTAGATGCGTTCGACGATATACTGTCACGGAATCAATAACCAGCCAGTGATAGAAGCACCGACACGCACATTGTGATTCCGACTGAACAACACCAAGATCGCGCAAACCGCTGGGGGGAGAAGCAGCAGACGGTCCTCAGCGAAGACATCGGGGTATAACATCCCTCGGCCATCTTTGTTGCGCACTTTGTCTTGCGCCTCCTGGTTGTGCCCGTAGAGCGGAGACAAATCAACGTACGAGGAGGTCTCGTTGATGTTGACGTCCGTGTGCGAAGTTCTGAATACGCTGTGGATGACTAGAGCAGCGAAACCGAACTGAGACAACGCATCACTATCGTCCATTCGAAGTACAGATGTTTGGTACCCACCATAAGGGAAGACAGTCCAGCGGGGTGCTCCACGAACTAGAAAGTGCAGTGAGTAATTCAATCGGCATAACTGGACCTCATGCGAGACTGACACCATCGCGCCTCAGGAGCCTGCACACAAGTCAGCAGTGAGTATTAGTAGCAAATCGCGACTGACGTGTCGAAGATCAGACCAGGATCTGGAAGAGCGTGCTTGGGGAGGGGATGGCTCTGTTGAACACTCCTCGCGTACGGCGTCCCCGCCGCGCCCATTTGCGGGAGATTGACATTGTTGTGGGATCCATCAGCCGTTCGCCAAGCATACTTGTCGCCGACGCTGGTGGAGTTCGGGTGCGACAAGTCGTTGTACACTGCAATCGCATAGAATGAGTGGGTGTGCAATAGATACCTAACGAGCGACGAACGAAGTTGAACGGCTTTGTTATCAAGGCCGGTGGCGAACTTGCCCTCGGGCAGTCGCGAGATGAAGGTCAACGCATGCTCAAGCTTCGAGCACGAAGTGTCAGCGAGGGGATCGACGTGGTAAGAGAGACATTTCCCACCGCGAGAGCTCTATCATCGATGGACTCTGTGTTTCTGATGGCATCCACGACAGCAGCCTGACAGGTTGAATGTTCAAGTATGCATCAACGTCGATTGAATGGACGTACAAAGCTAGACGTATCCACCGCGTGAATCCCTTTCTTGACCTAGCAGTCGTCAGCAGTCGGTTCCGAGACGAAAGAGGTACCGACTTGATCAGTGAGAAGGCTGAAGATATTTGCAGTCGCAGCAGGTGACGTTGATGGTGGGCTGGGTGCCGAAGAGTCCTTGGCTTTGCCTTCCGAAGAACTGTTGGCGGTGGACGCTGGCTCCTTAGCCTTCTACAGCTGTGAGCGGGCCATACACATAGGGAATACAGGCCAGCGGCTTACTCCCGATGAAGTGGTGGAGGGCGCGCGACGGAAGAACGACGTTCGACGATTCATGGCCGAGTACGTAGGCAGGGAGATGGTAGAGGAGACTAGTGAAGAGCGTCCACCTTATAACCGTCGAGCTCGTGTCATTTCCCATCTGCACGAAGCGAACGAAGACGCGAACAGTCAAGTTTACGGCATCACTATTGCCGCATTTGGAGCAGATTGTGATGGACCGCATTCCACCATTGAAGAAGGCTAGCATTTTCTATGTCAGAACCAGCAAGCGATGATGGAGTAATCAAGGCCGAGGCAGGTACTGGACATCACTCGAGGAAAGTCGGGTGCCGAAGCGCTGAAGGCCGTGACAAATGCAATGAAATTGATAACAAAAGTGCGAGTGGCTTCCCAAACAGAGCGCGGTCTAGACAGCAGCAGCAGGAGGTACTACGAACTGCGCAGCAGCCACATCGAATAGCTGCGATTTCTCCGCAAGATCAACAACCAGAGGGTGGGTGGGATGCTCAGTTGTCAAACGCCTGGGAAAACAGCATGAGGGGATGAATGGAAGCCACGACACAAGTCACGCACATCCACAGTTCATCACTTTCACCGCGCTTGCCGTCAATGCCAGAAGCAACGACATACGCAGCCAAAGTCTCCGCGTCATCCTTCTGCTGTCCCAGCGACTCCTCGAGGTCCGATTTAGCTTCAGCTACTTCATTTCGCAGCACACGTGTAACGCCGCGTGCGGTGAGAATGTGTGGTGAAGATAAGGAGGGGTTTCCAAGTTGTTCGGTATAGAACGAGTTCGCGTTGGAGTATCCATCTTTGGCCGCTACAAGACCGATGGATGATTCTATGAGCTGAAGAAGTAGATCATCTTCAGCCCAATGTTTTGCTCGCTCAAACTCCTTCTTCGCACGATCAGGCCGGTTGATAGAAAGGTAGATTTGTACGACGACGGCCACCCTAACAGGAGATGAGACGGAGCAGTGACGCATCATAAGGAACTTACGCTTCTAAGTCTTCAGTTTCTGAGCCCAACGTCTCCAAAGCTTCCTCAATCTCTCCGGCACGCGCAAATGCGGTTCCAGCCATCACACGGACCGAATTTTTATCCCTATCGCTCCCGTCCACATCGTCACCCTCAATCTCAACAGCCAGGTCGCGAAGCTCCTCTAGTGCCGCCTCATCGTCTGATCCAGATACATAACGGGCGAGGGCAGAAACGGCCCTGAGTGAGACGTTTTCCGAACCCGCAGGCACGATAGAAGCGACTGCAGAGGTGTCGTTGAGAGCGATGTGAGAACGGGCCTTGTACACCAGCGTGGGTATGTAGTCAGACGAAGACGAAACAGGAAGGGGGAGGCCAATGAGGGACTTGTAGGCGCCTAAAAAGAACTGCTGCTTGACATGGTAGAGCTCAGATGAATCCATGGATCACTACAACTTGCGAGCAATGGCGGGCGCGACGTGGTCTAGATCAAGTTTAGTAGTATTGATGTTTTGATCTTCAATGCATGGTCTGAGGTCTCTAAGTTGGACAAGGACCAGTGACCACTGGCAGTGATAAATGATTCACTAAGGTGAAGCAACAGAAACCCATGAGAAGCCGCCACCCAATTTACAGGCAGTGTCTCAAGATAAATGGCACAAAGGATGCCTCCCGCGTGCGTTTTCCCCACGTAGTGACGTCCATATAATGCTTCCCATGAGTCCTTGATCTCGCCAGTCACAGCCATCGTTTCATTCCAACCATTGTTCAACTCTATTCGTGAAAGACTTCACGGCGCAAATTGATCCAGGTCTTCGACTTTTCGCCCAATCCTGATCCAAATCTCTACCAGATTCGATGGCTGGTACGCGGAACTTTTTTGACTGGAGTTGTGGGCCCGACTTGCCGCCCTTCTCCGACCAGAAGGATCTCTACTGAACACTTTGCGCAGATCAAGTGACCGCTTTCAGTGAACCCGGCGTTGTCGAAAAGGCGCAACAGGAGCTTGACCAACATATTCGCCACCATTTCGCACAAATATCCGCTTTGCAAACCCGACGCAATGCTCTGGCCCCCATCAGCAGACTGCCTCCCGAGGTCTTGTCTCGTGTATTTCTGTGCCTAGTACTCTCGGACTCCTACTCCGTGAGATGGACCAGGGAGATCTCGCACGTATGTCGGCAGTGGCGCGCCGTAGCCTTGGAGTTTCCGTGGGTATGGAGCTATCCGTCCTTCCGCCACTTGGACTGGGCTGAAGAGATGCTCGAGAGATCGAAATCGGCTCTACTCACTATCAAGGTTCTTTCCATTGAACTAGCTGCTTATTTGCTGTTTATCTTTACCTCAGTTCCACGAAGTGTACACTCCGCCAAGAATGATCGACTTGTTGACCCGAGCTCTGAGTCAAGTTTCCCGACTGGGAGAACTTGATTTTGATGTCAAAGATCGCCTGGCTCAACTAGGTCTGCTCGTCAATATGACTGGTCAGCTGTTGTGCCTCTCATCCGACCTTGCGCTTGACCTGTTACAGACCCAGCTCCTTTCTTGCACACGCTTCATCTCGAGGCAACAGGGCATTACGGCGGGCCGGTGCGTTCTGCGCCACCACTCAAACCAAGCAAGGAAACTAAGCTCGAAGCGACAGCTAAGCCTACCTGCCACATTTCTTGGTGGAGATACGCCTCGATTGCGCCGAGTGGATCTGACGGGTTTCGCGATAGCATGGGACTCGCCCTTGCTGCGAAATCTGACGCGTCTTCGTGTTGTCCATTTCGCAAGACAAGAGTCTACCCTCTCGATGACGATGAAAGAGTTGCTTGATGCGCTAGATCACATGCCGCTTTTGGAGTCACTTGAACTCAAGAATATACTTCCGCCAATCGCTGTGCAGGCTCGCCCTCGGGTTTTACTCGCCCATCTTGAAAGTCTCGAGCTGGCGGACAATGTCGAGGAATGCTGCGGCATTCTCAGTCAAATGACATATCCGTCGTCAGCGAAAGTGCACGTCGCATGCTTTGGAGAAAAGGCTTCCTCATGCCATCCTATTTTTTCTGCCTGCAATATCGCTGGGAGATCGCCACGGTCCCTTGAGATTGGTATGACGCACTCCCGGGTCATCGTTCGTCTTTGGATGCGCACTGTCGATTTCCAGGGCACCGCCTTCCGAGACTCGGCTCTGGAAATATCCGCGTCCTGGCGCTTGCCATCGAATGACGGAAACGAGAGCACTTTTCTACTCATCTGCCAGACACTTCCTTTGAACAATCTACGCGCTCTCTCTTTTCTCAGTGACTCTCACGGCATCTCCACGGCGGCCTGGATTGCAAGCACTGTGCCTAATTTGCCCAAGCTACGAGCCATCAAAGTGGTGGGGAGTCCGGTTGGATTTCTCAAGAGTCTAGGAGAAGATGTAGTTGTTTCGGGTGTCAAACAGACACCGGCCATCGCAGCAGTCGTTCGCAAATCTGTTGAACGGCGCGTGAGTCGGCGCAATCAAGCCGGCGCTGCAGCTGTCACTGGCGGACTGTTCTTCCCTGCACTCCGGCATCTGTGTTTGTGCGGAATGAACTTTGAGGAAGCGACGCTCGAACAGTTCGGGGAAGCGATCATGGAGCGTTGCCACTGGAACCAGGAGTTGTTCTCGTTGACGTTGCAGAGATGCGAACACCTGACCGAGGAGGATGTGCGAGGCCTCAAGGAAATTGTCTCTTCTGTCGAGTGGGATGGATTGGAAATTGGATTTACCGATTCTGAAGAAGAAGAAGAAGAAGAATACAACGCAGATTACGATTATGGTGACTATCACCATTACATGTTTGACAACTACTATGATGACTATGACTCCGACTTCGATTACATGTAAAACAACTGTTTGGTATCCAGAGTCAAGCCCGTGGGACGAACGAAAACGATATTCATCGATATGCATATGCAAGACGACAGGCTCCGAATGGCAGACTGAATAAGTTCCTGTCAAAACATGAATCGTATCTGGCGAACAAAGAACGCGCTTTGACCGTGCAAGACAGTCCACGTGACTCCGCCGCGGGCATCTCGGATCCGCGGGTGGACTTATCGCGCATCACAAACTGACGCTGGCGTGATGATGCGCATAAGGCGTAGGTTCCCAACCATCCTCCTTGACTTTGCTCTGTCATCATGGACGCAAAGTCCAAGGGAAATTCGATCCTGCCGGCTCCCTATGAGCCTCAGTCGGGTGTCAGGGCCAGGTCGTCGCCGTTCAGATACCTGGCTTTGCTCGTCTCAGCCGCTGTGCTTTCCACAATCCTTCAAGTTCCATCCCTCAGGATGCACTCATTTAAAACCGTCTCTCTGTCCCAGGCTGGGGCTATCGAATGGAAGGACGACGAGTTTCCTCTACGCGAGCAGACTCCGTGGGATATATCTACCGACTACCAGTACCCGCGTGTGCTTGAATACGACGTGACAGAGGGGACCTGGCTACGTTTGGATGTTCATCCGACGTCGGGAGACATCGTGTTTGACATGCTGGGTGATCTGTACTGTCTCTCCCGCGCGGAAGTCAGTGCTGCAAGTGGTGTCGCGGTAACGGCACACCCCATCCTCCTCGGTGTCCCCCACGACTCGGACGCTCATTTCTCTCCCACCGGCGACCGCATTGTCTTCCGCTCGGACGCAGGTCTCGGTGTTGAGAACATCTGGGTCAAGCCATGGGCTGGATGCGCGGCGGCGGACCTCCGAGCGTTCGGAAGCGACCCCGCATTGACGCGTGCGCTTCAGGACAAGAACCGCGACGAGGAGCTCCTCGCCCAAGGCGTCAAGGAAACGAAACAGCGTCGACTGAATCGTCTTCTTCGTGAAGGGCGCTCTGATGCGCAACGCGTCACGAACGAGACGTATCGCTGGATTTCGGACGCGCGTTTCCACCCGTCCGGTTCCGAAATCATTGCGACCAAGTGGTACACGACAAGTCGTTCGCTTGGAGCGGGTGAAGGGTGGCGCTTCCCTGTCCCAGAAGCGGGGGACAACAGCACAATCAAGGTCGGCAGCGGTGCGAGAGTCCTAGGACGGACTCTTCCTCGCGGAGAGAGCCCGCAGATGTATGGAGAAGTGCAGGTCGGTCCGGAGCAGTTCATTTGGCGCGGGGAAGATGGTGTCATCTTCAGCAAGAACGGCATCGATGGGGACCAGTACACGTACAGCAAGGGTCAGTACATCTTGTTTTGGAGAAAGGATTGTCTCACAACTTCCAGATGTGCACAAGGGCATCTACTCTATTTTCTCCCATAACATCACAACTGGAAAAACGGAAACTCTTGTGTCTTCTTCGCCAGGTGGTGCATCTCGGCCACAACTTTCACGTGACCAGAGAACGCTTGCATTTGTGCGCAGAGAGCGTGACCACGAGTTGCTTGTTTTCAAGTATGTTCTTGGGCTTATTTTGTGTTTCAGACAAGCAGCTAATTCGCGTCAAGGGATTTGGAGACAGGATCTGTACATCACATCTGGGATGGTCTTAGCTACGATCTGGGGGTCATCTCCGCTCCGATGGGCACATACGCGTCTTTCTCATTCACGCCCTCCGACGATGCCGTCATCATCTGGGCTGGAGGGCAGATCTACACGGTCCCAATCACTAAGAACAGTTTGGGCGAGCGCGTTGCTAACAAAGCGCACCCTCCGACCCCGATCCCCTTCAGAGCTCACATCGAGAAGCGACTGGCGAATACTCTCTCAGGATCCTTTGATCTCATTGGAGTCGAGACTGCGCCGACCCAGCGGGTGACTTCGTTCCGGAATGTCCGGGCTGATGCTGCCGGGAGCCGCGTCGTCTTCGATGCGGGGGCTGTTTCGTACGTCCAAGGCGTTGGGAAGTCTCACGCCAAACCAGTGCCGGTTCTGCATCCCGGGGCTCCGTACTACTCCCCGGCATGGGTCCCAGGCTCGCCCGATGCAGTCATCCACGCTCGCTGGTCCAATACGAACTTCACGTCGTTCGAGATCGCGGACCTGACATCGGGAAAAGCATACGAGCTGTCCGGTCTGCCATTTGGGCGGTACTTCTCGCCCGCCGTCTCTGAAGGACGAAACACGATCGCATTTTTGAAGTCCGCTGGCGATGACCAAACTGGGCACATTCTCGCGACTGCAAAGCCCGGCCTGTATCTCGCTGACCTGACTCTGGGTGAGAACCCAGAGCTCAAAAACGTCCATTTCGTCTCTTCGGAGATCTCCGTCAACGACATGGTCAACATGCGCTTCCTAGATAACAATGGGACACTCCTCGTTCAACAATCTGACCGCTCGTTTGTTATTGATCTGGCTGCTGGACCCTCTGGCATAGAAGGGAAATATCCTCATCACACAGTGGCAACTGGTAGAATGTCTTCAGAGATCGCAACCAGTCTGCCCAAGAAAACCAAGAAGGGGTATGCTCCGCGAGGAGTGGCCTTCATCGAATCGTTCAACGTTTACTACGTTCCTGGAGATGGGCTCAAAGAGGATGAAGCTGTGTGGTCTAAGCCAGGCAACGCAACGAAGAATCTCGTTCGCGTGAGCCTGGATGGGGGTGCGGGTGTCACCTGGTCTGATGACGGCAAGAAACTGTTGTGGTTCTTGGGTGCGTTTTGTTGTCGCTATTGCATTGGATTCATGCTCATGCTGCCTAGGTCCACATCTCCACTCTCTCGAAGTCTCCAAACTGGACAAGTGCTCGTCTGCGATTGAATCCGACCCGCTCACTTTCGGAATCTCTTGTGTGAAGGGTTTGCTTGAATACCAAGAGGTTGTGATCGAGCATTCCACCGACATCGCACGTCTGAAGAAAGAAGCCGCCCAATCGGACGCGCAGGGAATCAACTCGGACGTTTTCGTCATCTTCAATGCGACTATCCTGACGATGGAAACCGGCGATTTGTCAAAGGACCTGATCCGAGACGGGGTTGTTACCATCCGCGGTGGTGTTATCGAGAGCGTCGGTCCAGCGGGCAGCTTCGTGGCATCCGGTGCGACTGCCATTGATGCCCATGGAGGTGAGCATTTACGTTCGTCGATCCGGCGAGTCTCAATCGTCTCTAGGCTACGTCATCCCCGGATTCATTGATGTGCACGCCCATTGGAACAACTTTGATTCCATTTTCCCGGCTACCTCATGGGAGTTGCAAGCCTTCCTGGCCTATGGTGTGACGACCTTGCACAAGTGAGTGCCGATTCGTAACAAATTTAGGCGACGGCTGACGTCGCTCCAGTCCAAGCGCTTCTGACGATTCGTTCGCGGAGCGATCGCGTGTGGAGAGTGGTCTGACTGTTGGATCCCGCATCTTCTCGACCGGGGCTGTTATCTATGGTGCTGCTGCTCCGAGCCTGCATCAGAGCATTGCTGACGAGGCTGAGGCGTATTCCGCCTTGGTCCGCTTGAGAGCTGCCGGTGGAATTGGCAGCATTTCTTACAAGAACTACAATCTGCCCATCCGGTAAGGGGATGCATCATTACATGTTGAGTCAGTACTGAATGGCTCCAGTGCCTCTCGCCAGCGACTGCTGAATGCGGGGCGGAAGATTAACATGCTGTGTGTTCCCGAGGGTGGGATGAACTTTGACTGGGATCTCACCTACATCGTCGACGGTGCGTGCTTCGCTTCATTATCTGCATTTCGGCTCAATCATCCTCCCAGGAATGACCACTGTGGAACATGCGCTGCCAGTTCCTCAGCTGTTCGATGATGTGCTTACTCTTTTTGCTCTGAGCGGAACTGCATACACACCCACGCATATTGTCAACTACGGCGGAGCCTGGGGCGAACAGCTAGTCTGGGCAACACAAGATGTGCCCAATGATCACAAGTCTGCTGTTGTCGCTGATTCATCCCTGAAACCTGCTGATCCATCTGCAGACTGCGGGCGTTTGTACCGCATGCGAAACTCGATGTTCTCTCGGAATCGACCTCACGACCCATGAACTGTGCGGACGATTTCCCCATTCATCGACTAGTTCTGTCTCATGTTTCTCCCAGCTTATCAGTTCTTCAACACGTCAGCGTCGTCTGCAAAGATGGTGCACATGGGTCTGCGATCGCACATTGGCGCGCACGGCGAACCGCCGTACGGAGTAAACTATCATGCGGAGCTCGCCTTCGCGCAGGCAGGAGGACTGAGCAACTACGAGGTTTGACTGCCCATTTGACGCACTGAGATGCCCTGACGCCCCGTTACTCGCAGACGCTCCAGTCGGCGACATCGTTGGCCGCAGTCACTCTGGGCTTGTTCGACTCGCTCGGCTCGGTCTCGGTCGGGAAACTAGCTGATCTGGTAGTGTATCCTCCAGGCGTTGACTTGCTCCACGGCGACATCTCCCAATCTGTCAATCTCTCGATGGTCGCGCGCGGTGGACGGTTCTGGGACGCCTCGACGATGACAGAGATTTGGCCAGTGAAGGGGAAACAGCAAGTGCTGCCTCCTCTGAATGCGGTTTGAATTGAGTACATGTGGTATGACTACCACTATGCTTTGTACAGCAAATTTATGTTACAGGCATCTTGGGTCCGAAGTTAAACGTTAATGAGAAAGCGGGCCGTCTGCTCAAATGTAGGTGTCGTGCAAACAACTGAGGAAAGAATGACGACGAACGGCATAAATGATTGAGCTCATTCCACAGCTACGACAGCCGCAAGCTTCTCGAAGTCAGCCCGCAGATCTACCGAGGACTTCTTCTTGTGAAGTGTCTTCTGTAGCGGCGGAGTGGAAGGAGTGGCTACAGACGGCTGATTTTGCACATCAGAGCTGATTGAAGTGCTCGGCGAGATCGCGGGAGAGGATATCGTGCGCGTCGTCATGATTGGGTGGTGCGTTATGTCGTGAGGGACGTCCGGAGGATGGAGGGGTTGCGGGCGATTTTCTCCATTTCTCGCACCTTTATACAGACCGACGTCAACGGTCAGTCACTTGACTCGAATTTGTCCTGATGGCGGTGCCCAGCGGAGCTCCTGTTTATTGTACTTGCTTGCATTGTAAGTCCAAAGAGGGATAGGCTTCAGCTGTCTGGAAGCGACCAAGGCCTATGTATCAGACAAAGGATAATCGAGAAGACCGGGGTGCAAGTCAAGGACAGCGCATTCGATTTGATCGTTGGCTTCTTAGACTCGAGAGAACATTCACTTCGGTATGGAGAGAGAGAGAGCTAGGGATTCTAAGGCATAAGTCAAGCCTGGAATTGGACTGCAAGTGGTAGCCTAGAGGGTACTAGAGAGTCGAGACTCGATGCTCGGAGCACCGGAGCGAGCATCCGGGTCAGCGACTGTCAGCGATCTATCACATGACAACCATCTACGGACGCGTCAAACTTGGTGTCCAACCGCCTCTCTCCTCCACCGTCTCCTCAGCCACACACTACGCCTTCTACTTTCTACGCGTCTTTTGCTCAAGAGATGAAGTACATCATTCTCGGATCTCTTGTTGCTCCAACGCTGTTGTGGAATCTGTCTTGGTCCATCATGCGGGGATGCATTGGAGACACGCTGACCCACGCCCACGCGCTCATCAGCCTGTCAATCTCCGGCGCATTCCTCATCTCGCTCTATACAAACATCAGTCTGGCCGAAATGCTTCTTGACCTGCATCATCTCACTGCGCCGACGAAAGACGCTGAGGACCAACCGGTTCTACAAGTTGTACGCTGGCGAGATTCAAAGCCAACACCGACCGGCACGCGCGTCCGACAAGACGCACGTGTCGAGGTAGATATATCGAGCTCAGAGGGAACTGCATCTCTTCTGTCTATGCTGGTCTTTCTTCTCCTCGCGTGGCAACAACAAATCGATAACCGCAGTGCGATGATTGTATTCTCCCCGCTCCAAGGCACTGCGACCCACGACCTGCCTCAAGAAGAAAGTAGGGGAAAGCCGCACTCTGCACAACGGAGCGCCGAGTCTCTACTGCCTGGATCATACGCGACGGAATGTGACACACTCGGTGCATGGGGGCTGTCCAGACTCGCCGTGCTCCTCACGTTCTGCTTTGTCTTGGCCGCGCTCTACGTTGTTGAAGGCACCATCTCCTCGGCTGTGATTCTGTTGGTCTCTTATCGCTGGTCGTCCCTCGCCTCGTTCCACACTCCGAGAAATATCTGGTTCGCACGCTCGTCCCGCTCCACCCAACTCTCGTCGACAACCAACTCGAGCGAGGATCTCACGCTAGTAGAAGAAGACAGTTATGATGCGGAAGTTTGTGATGCAGACAAATCCCTTGCCAAAGCCCTTTCATTCAAGCTGCGAGCTGAAGCGCGGTCTTTCGTGCCCCTGCAGCAGCAGCTAGATGTGGATTTCCACGGGGAATACGATCTTAAGCTCAAGACCGCTGCTATGTATAACTATTCTAACCGGAGCATCTATACTAGAGTTGGAACATTCTGATCTCGGTAGAAAGAGATCGGAGGGTAAAAGGCAGATCTGCGTTATGCATTTGTACAAACCTAGTCATGTATCCCGAAATCTTTGTAACAAAATGAACCACTGCAAACATGTAACTTAGAGCGTCGCCGAACTTTGTAATGGGAATCTTGGCTTGGTGGTGAGCCCTGTCGCATGGGGAGATTACCGGCAATCACCGATCAAACGTCTAGACGTTGACTATAAAGCTGAAAATTTCGCATCACTCATCCTTTGTTCGTCTTTCACTACCTCAATGTTACACTTGTCGCCTTCTTCTTTTGTTCCTGTTCTCTTACGTCTTCCTGGCCTATTTCTGCCCAAGCAGTGGGTATACTCCACCCTGTATTGGTTCTGGTGATGGCCCAAATCGATGTATTCGGGGCGTCTAATCAACGCTCCGAAGGACCCTTGAGAAATGGGAGTCTGTCTGGTGGGGCTTTCATGGTTTTTGTAGCGTCCTATATCCCTCTTCCATATCTTGTACAGTTGGCTAGCCACATCAATGAAACCATTCCACTTCTCGTATCGTCATTCGCGTACACCACCGCCGTAGTCCCGGCTCGGCTCCTCGCCCATGCTGTGATATTGGAGCCTTCTCGAGTCTCACCCGTTGAACAAGCCGCAAGGAACGGGAGTGCACACGCCTGCTTTTCTCGTTACTCGCGCTTCCTCGCCCCCAAGTCGGACATGAATGCAGTCTGCTGATCAGTTTCACAGGGTGCTAGAGAGCCGTTAGCCCAGGCCTGGAATCACCTGCAGTAGCCAACGTCAGTGGCGGGGACCTTGTCTCGCGCTTGAGCGGCTGAAACATGATTACACTCGCTCAGCAGCTCAGATGGAAGCTCTGGTTGCGCTATAAAAGACGACGGCACACTCAGGGAGCGGCAGTCAGATAACGATGTCCCACATCCAGCGTCCCAAAACCATACTCTCTCGCTACGGGGGGTGGCTGCCGTCTCACCCAGCCATCCACGAGAGCTTCTTGGACCACCACGTCGGTCACGCTCGTCGCAAAGTAGCACAAGATGCCGACCACTCTACTGCGGCTGTTCAAGCTTTCGGCGCTGCGATCAAGGCTGATCCCGAGATGGTCGCTCTGTTCGAAGACATCTTCGACCAGGCCAGCGGAGAGAACAAGGTCCAAGTTGTGCAGCTACGGGAACTGCTCCGCATGTTGACGCACCGCAGATCACGAGCTTGGACATGCTCCTGCATGCATTCGACAATGTCGTCGAGAAGCCCCCGGCGTTCCACATCGCAGAGGATGACGACGGCAATGTGATCGGAGAGCCCGTCGGGGTTCCTCTTTACGTCCTCTTCGACCTACTGGGCAACACAACCGCCGCATACGACTTGTTCCGCAAACCTGCGTTCAATGTCGAGCTGAAGAAGCTTTTGGATTCCTGGGGCGAGTTCCTCACGACGCCGGCCTCTGCCAAGTGCCTGCACGACGGACCGGAGGGCTGGTTCAGCTCGGCGGCCATTTCCAGCATGGAAGCCGGAGGTCGCGGACGCTTCGAGGACACTTGGGTGTGCCCTGACCCCAGTCTTCCGAGCAAGGGCTACAAGTCGTGGGATGAGTTCTTCATTCGCAAATACATTCCCGGCACGCGCCCTCTGATCCCAGCCAGCGACCCCGCTCGCCAGGACTTCATTCTGTACAGCGCGTGCGAGTCCACGGTGTACCACATCACCGACAACGTCAAGCGCCACGACCGCTTCTGGCTTAAGGCGCAGACCTACTCCATCCAAAACATGATCAGAGATCCGGAGGTAGCAGAGATGTTGAACGGAGGGACTGTGTACCAGGCGTTCCTCAGCCCACAGGACTACCACAGATGGCACGCGCCCATCTCCGGCACGATCGTTCGTGCCGATGTCATTCCGGGCACGTACTACGCTGTCCTTCCCGACGAAGGAGCACCCGAGGACGATCCCGACTTGAAGCCTGGGCAGCCCCACGGCGCGATGATCCGGTCGCAAGGCTGGTTGACCACCACCTCTTCTCGCGCGATCATCTACATCCAGTCCGACAACCCAGACATCGGACTTATGGTGTTCATTGGTGTTGGCATGGCGGAGGTCTCCACCACCAGTATCTCTGTCAACACGGGCGATCGTGTCCAGGCAGGAGACGAGCTGGGCTGGTATGTTTTGCTTCCGTTTCAGATACCACATCTTTTTGCTAACCTCCGACCAGTTTCCGTTTCGGCGGCTCGTCCCACGCACTCATCTTCGGTCCTCAGATCGATATCAAGTGGGCGGACGGTGTTGAGGTTGACAAACACCAACTGGTGCACTCGGTCATCGGCGAGATCCATCTCAAGAATTAAAGTTGTACAAGTTGTATCGGAATATTTGAATGAATGATCCTTGCAGACACGCTCTACAACGTCATAAATATGATTTTACAGCAGTCTTTTTATTGTGTTACGAATTCTTCGCTTCTTCTTCTGGTATATATGCGCGCTCAGTGAGTATAGGACCGGGGATGGTGATACAGAAACACATGAACTAGGTGTGCGAGGGCTCTCTGGGAGCGATGCGTCGTACAGGACGGCAGCGGCCAGTTCGGGAGAGTACAAACACAGATAGTGGGATATGGTACGTCTTGGAGAAGATGGAAGGTTCAGATAGGCTTGGAACAACAGCCATTACAATAAAAAGAGGAAGGGAAGAAAGAGATAAGTAAAGAGTGGACTTCGCTGACAACGTTTCTGTCTCCTGCAGCCTAGTATTCACTTGGGTGCCTTGGCGATTTCACGTGCCGCTTTGATAAGGGGAGCCAGAGTTCTCAGAGGCTCGCTGAGCGTGAAGAAGGGGTGCGCAAGCAATTGGGTCGCATTCGGACGCTTTTCAGCGTCAACCTCGAGTGTCTTGGCAAGGTAATCGCTGAAGATGGAGCTGAGACTCTCGGGGTTGGCGATGGTCGGCGTTCCGTTCGTCGCAATCAGATAGAGAGCCTTGAGCGGGTTTTGGTTCAAGTACGGTGGTTCGCCCTCAATCATTTCTGCAAGCAGAAACAGTCGTGAGAGAACACCCTCAGTCAAGCTTCAGGACGCACCGATCGCCATGATGCCAAGAGACCAGATATCGACTTTAGGGCCATACTCCTTTCGTGTCACAACCTCCGGAGCCATCCAGTAGGGAGTCCCCACCATAGTCGTCCGCTTAGCATGCGCGGGATCCGAGATTTGAGCACAAAATCCAAAGTCGGCTGCAAAAAGCGATCAGACTACCAAAATGCCTGATGGGTGACAACGCACTAAGCTTGATATCGCCAGTCAAACTGAGCAGGATGTTGTCGCTCTTGATGTCTCGGTGGATAACTCCATGTCTGTGCAAGTGCTGAAGACCCTGTGCGGTCTCCCTGGAAACGGCAGCGATTTGCCCCTCCGTCATCAAGTTGGCGGTGACGACATCAGTCAGGGACCCGCCCTCCATGTATTCCATCACGACCCACAAGTCGTTCTTGTGCAGGAACGAGTCGATGTAGTTGACGATGTTGGGATGCCGGGAAGACCGCATGACGAGGATTTCGTTGATGATGAGGTCTTTCTTAGGCTGCTTGTCCAAGTCCATCTGCTTGATAGCGACGCACAAGTTCGTGCCCACTTGGTAAGCAGTGTAGACCCCACCAGAAGCGCCCTGTCCGATCTTCACAAGGCTGCGGTACAAACGAGTCGGATCCGCATCGGTACAGATGGCCTGCAGCCGCCGCACCACATCGGCATCTTTATCCTTGTCCGCCGGCTTCTTTTCACGTCGCCGAGGGGTTGCTGCACCGGCTGCACTAGCCTTGGCGAGAGACGCTGCAGCTGGACTGGGTGCCGCTGGTGCCGCACGTGGGGCCGTTGTCCGTAGAGGAAGGTCGTTAGCTGACGAGCCTGGCGATGCCTTGGGCGTGGCCTGGGCACTGGCCGAGCCGGGCTGAGCTAATTTGCCTGGCGGGGTCGGCTGGGCCCGCTCGCGCGTCGTGTTGGATCGCTCGACGGGCTTGGCCACAGGTGCCTTATTGGGTATGCGCTGAGACGTAGAGCGATCGAGGGCCGGGGACGCGGCTGAGGGAGGCGTTGGGGCTGGCCTGTATGCAGCGGGAGGAGGAGGTGATGAGAAGGCCGAAGGCGCCTTTTTCGGCGGGAGTGGCGGCAGACGCTAGTTTGGGATGAGCTGAGCTTATGTACAAAAAGACACGGCGAGAAACGCACGGGATTGTTGAGTCCATCTCCCCCTCCCCCTCCTCCTGAATCTACAGTGTCGTATGGAATAGCACCAAGCTTATCCCATGCGCCGTCGGCTTGGCCCTCCTGATAGAACTTGACGATCTCCATGACCGCCTGCGGGTTTTTCTCCTGGTCTGAGCGCGAAATACCATTTTCGGAGAGCAGCTGCTGCCATTCCTTGGGAAGCCCAGTGAACTCTCCCGTAGACGAGTTGAAACCAACATGGGTGAGATGGACGGGGTCGTAGGGAGTACTGATCTCGGGCCGCTTGGTCGAATTGAAGATAAACCCGAGCACGGATTTTTTGCCCTTGGAGGACGTCGTGCCACTGCGGCTGCGTATTGTAGGGGGCTGTGGGTAGTCTACTGGGGGCAGTGGTGGGGGAAGCTGCTCGCCGGGATCGGCATAAAAGTGGCCGTCCTGATTGGGGACTACGGGGCTGGAAAGACGGCCGTTGACGGCGGGATCAGACAGGATGTCTGTCAGGTTCGCAGTGTTGGCGCGAGAGGGGCGCGGGGGAGGCGAGGTGGTGGTCATGGATGAAGGAGTGGAGGAGATGTATGATGAGAACGATGCGGAAGTGCCAAGCGACGCTGTCCCTACTCCGTTGGACTCGATAGCTGAGCCGCTGCTGAAGGTCGACCTAGTGTACGGGAATCCGGAGGGATCCTTGTGACTGCCTTGGAAAGAATTGGGATAATCGCTGGCGAACGGATCGCTCGGATGATGTGTGACGTTGGGTGGAGGCGAGCTAGGTAGACTCGATTTCCGCAACCGTTGAGGTTTTTGGAGAGAGTTCCGAGCCTTTGAGGGTGGGGAAGGGGCCTGCCGGT